TCATTCATTCATTCATTCATTCATTCATTCATTCATTCATTCATTCCAGGGCTCCAGCTCAGGACCTTGTGCTTGCCAGGCAAGTGCTTGTGCTGCTGAGCTATCTTCCCGTCCCTAAATTCATTTATTTAATGGTGGTGACTGGCTTTAAGGTATCATCTTAGGGGTGCTGTGATGAGGCACCCTGTTAGAGTCTTCTGGTCCTGGAGCAGTTCAGCTGGTTGGGGTGGCATCTGACAGATCGTTACTGCAGCAGCAGCCCCGGGCCAGCAGCCTGGGCCAGGGTCTCATTCCTACACGCGTGTGGGGTGGCTGGGGAGCACTTGCTGTGCCTTCTCTGATTGCAGTTGTACATTTATGGTTATTGCTGGCTTCTCTTCTGAGTGGCTGCCAGTGGAGGCAACAGCGGGCTGAACATGGCAGTAGTATGAGGAGAGAAACCCTGCCAAAGAACACCAGGCCCACTTGGTTTTATGTGGCTGCAGCTGTGACTATTACATATGTGGAGTGTTTAAAATGAGAGGATGGAGAACAGGAAAAAGTTAATTTCTTTTCTGAAAAGGTAAATATTGGATAGTTTATTGCCCTGTCCAACTCTTCTCATTTCACTTATATATGTATATATATTTTACAACATATTTTTTAGTGAGGCCATTCAGCCTTTTTTAGAGTCTATGTTTTCTATGTTGCTAAATTGCTCAGGCTTGGCTCGAACTTGTGATTCTTCTGCCTCAGCCTCCCAGAGTGCTAGGATTACAGGTGTCACCATGCTTCACTCAGTTCTTGATTTTTACAACTTTACTCACTTGAACCCAGATATGAATCTTAAAACCTCGCTAGTTTATCCAGTGGTTGCGTAGTTTTAATTCAAATGTGTGGGTCCTGGGAGTTCTGTTCAACATGATGTGCGTTGCATTGTCACACCAAGACTGTTTGTAGTTGTGTACCACCTTTGCTCCTCTTCAGTTGAACTTTTAGTAGTGGCTTTTGCAGGGTTACTGGGAGAACTCCAACACCTGTATGTGATGATTTGTGATCCTATCTTAACTCATTAAGCACTCTTACCCAAGTGGAGGAAACCCAAACACTGACTAGATTAAGTTCCATGCTGATGGATGAAGCATTTCTAAATGGCAGCAGGCCGTGGTCCCAGCCAGGTATGCCCAAACTTCAGTGTGCCCTCAGTGCCTGTGTGTGTTCATAGCACAGTGCCCCCCTTTGCTTGTGCTGCCTGCTAGCCTGCAGGACAAGCTTATTATCACACTGAAGAAGGCACCTGGAAGATTCTTGGCAGCACCAGAGAGGAAAGGCACTTTTCCACATTTCACTCTTCAGCTGGCTTCAGCACCCCTTCCTGACCCAGGTGTGCTGTGCCAGCCAGGTTGGCCAGCACCTTCTTGTCACACTGGTACAGCGGCATCCCCAGGTGGTCAGCTGTAAGCCACGTGAGGAAGTGCTACAGTGTGTAGGGAATCTCAGCCTGAGCCACATACACATGCAGCTCTATAACCCTGGTATCTTCTGACTTTAGTATGCATATACGACCCTTCTGGGGCGATTTGTCTTCACAATGATACAGGTGCTTGTAGGGCATAATGATTTTCCCCACCACCTTTACTCATTCTTTGGCCAAACAGAATAAATGTTCAGTGCTTTTCATCTTTATGAAGCGGAAGGCTCTGGGATGCAATCATTTCTGTGGTGGCTTCTGTGGTTTCCTAGGTGCTGGGTTTAAGGAGACATGATGCCCATGTATTTGAAGAGGGAGAGCGGGCAGCAGAATGAGAAGGTAAAACCTTGTTGATGCAGAGTGATGTGGTGGGAAATTTAACAGCCACAAAGATTTACTGGCTGTGCCTAAGGAAGTAGCTCTCATCTCTGAGTGATGTTTTAATATGAGATGCTCTCATGGAAAATATATAATGGTCTCCCTGTGTCAACCTTCTCAAGCCAGTATCTTCTGGTGTTTCTCTCTTACCATGAAGTCAATGAAAAATCGTGTAGTGAAGTCTTTTTAGGTGGCTGTGGTAGCTTTTGTGGTCTTTGGAGTTTCACACTACTCACAAATTTGTTAAGTACAAGTATCCTTGGTTGTGTAAATACTTGATGCTGAGTTTCGATGGTGAGGGCTTATGTACTGAGGACTGTCTTATCTGAAACTGTTCAGCTACTAAGCGTTACAGAGTAAATAGCAAGAATTCAGACAAGATCCGGAAATTTTTGTACATCTTTTGGTGTCTCCGTTCTGCTGGTAATGGATATTTATATACACCACAGTTTTGACACTGTTGACATGTGAGCTGAGGTAGTTTTTTCCTGGGGGTGGGGACTGTCCTGTGTGTTGTAGGTTGTTAGCAGGGTCCCCCTATGGCTACTGCCTACCTCCAGCTGCAGGCTTCCAGTAGAAGGTATCTTTGTGTCTGTCTCTGTCTCTGTCTCTGTCTCTGTCTCTGTCTCTGTCTCTGTCTGTCTGTCTGTCTGTCTGTCTCTCTCCTTCCCTCCTCCCCCCCTTCCTTTCTCCTTCTCTCCCACTCCTCTCTCTTCCTTCTGCATCTGAACAACCAAGAATGTCTCTAGGTGTGGTCAGATTACCAGGGGGTTGACAATGAGGAGGCAGAATTTCACCTTGTTTATAACTACTGTTGTACACCATTGCCCTTAACTACGTTGGCAAATAATGTGGAATTCTAAAGAAAAGCAAAAACTGTTATAGATACTTCATTTTAGAACATCTTTTGGTGTCTTCATTTTAATAATGAGACCAAGAGATTCTTAGAGAGATACTTCATTTTAATAATTGCATGGGAATACTTTTTAAGGAAAAAAGATTCTAATAAAAGGACTAAGTTTTATATAGAAAAAGTATCTATCACGTGTTGAACCTTATGGTTCTACGACCTATTCGCCTAGACTTGGCTTGCATTTGCTATGGTCTGGAAATCGCCAACATTGCCTCATTCATTGATCTTAGTTGCAATCTCTCAAACCACCTGCAGAGCACTTTGAGACCACCAATCAGTGCTTTCTTGTTGCATAAAAACCCCAGGAAACCTTTTCTTTTGTGACTTTGAACAGCTGGAGTTCTGTCAGAGGAGGGGGCACCAGCGGCAGCTCCTGGAGTGGGTTTCTCACTCTGGCATGTGTCCTGGGTGCTGGTTTTGTCTTGGGTCCAGGAAAACAGGTTGTGCCTCTGACGTGCGGTCTGTGCAGGCTTGTTCTTCTGGTTTCTCTTCTGCCTTCCTCAGACACTCTGTAGCATTTTTGCATGGTCAGGGATGGATGAACACCTGCTTGTGTAAGGTGCTGCTCTTTCCCTTCCTGTGAGCTCTTCAGTTGAACCCTTTATTCCATCCCTACTGTACATCCCTGACGTACAGAGCATCAGTTGCATATGTGTTGAAAGTGAAATTTTTATTTTGAAAGTGAATAGAATTGAGGCTATTAGTTTTTTTTTTCTTTTTACTCTGAACACCAGTGTCCATTATTGTTATAGGAACATAAAATTAGTCCAGTTAAATGGTTTTACCTTGGCATGCTGTAAGACTTCCAACTTTTAGTGCCACTGTTTCTGCTAAGTGTATGTGATGTCATGTATTCGAAATATGTGTGTTCATCTTATTTCAAGTCTAAAAGCATATTACTAAATTCTCATTAGGTTTATTTAATGAACATATTTGTTTTTTAGTTTTATTTTATTTTGAAGAGTAAAAACAAGAGCAAGAACAAAAATCTGAAACAAAGGGCCAGCCAGATAGTTCTGCAGATTAAAGTGCCTACTTAGGCAGATGCAGGGACCTGGAGGGACTTGGCAGGGACCAGGGTTTGATTCTTGGGTGCTGTGCTAGCCCCATCCCCAGGGCGCTCTTAGATAGTGATTGAGACTGGGTGTGGTGGCGTGCGCCTGTAATTCCAGCGCTTGGGAGGATCACTACGAGTCTGATCTACATAGTGAGCCCTTGTAGACCCTGTACTAAGTAAAAAAAAAAAAAAAAAATCAGAAACAAAAACAGACACAAGGTAACAAACAACAGTACAAATGTTACAGATTTTTAAAGCAAGAATAGCTGATTAATAATGGTGAATATATTACCTATTTTTATCATCAAATCTGTTGCTCAGAATAACAGATACAGTTATGTAAGACTGGGCATATGATTAAATATTACCACTTACTTTCAAGAAACCTTGTATTTTTGTTCTTCTCTTTTTTCTTTTTTCACCTCTTTTTAAAAATATTTTAAGGAGAGTATAATACTAATTGATATGACATTAGAAATGGTACACATTTAGAAGACCAAGATAACAGATACTCAGGCATGGTTTTTGTGTTACACATTCCTGTCCTAGATGCAGTGAATTTTTTTTTTTTCGGAACCGGGGATTGAACTCAGGCCCTTGCGCTTGCCAGGGAAGCGCTTATTCCACTGAGCCATCTCCCCGGCCCCAAAGAAAATATTTTTGAGTGGTTTAATTATCAGTTCTTTCATATTGTTATCTCGACCTCAGTTATGCACTTAAAGGAATTTGGTACAGTGATTTTAATCAAAACTTTGCTTTATGTCCGAGATACTGTTTTTAAGCTAATGACTATCCTATCTTTAGCACAGAAGTAATGATTATGTATAAAATGCTTATAGTTATGCTGTCTGCCCCTTTGGAAATACAGTTGTTAGGCTGCAATTCTTGTGGCTTTTTTCTGGAACCAGGTTCATGCTGTCTGAGGAACTTGCACACAAATTCTCTCTCAGGATATACTGGAGGAGGAACAAGCCATTGATGATGAAGTGAGACTTTTCAGAAGTGTTTCTAGAGCAGCTGTAATAATTGAGACAAGAATTATCTTGAGAAGGCAGAGAAGGAAAATGGCTTTTCTGCTTTAAATCTCAGTGTTCTGTGTGGTGATGGCGGAGACTGAAAGCCTATTCTGACTTGCCTGTTTTTCTAGTGCATGATGTAACCAAAGTAATAGAAATAAGATTTTTTTTTTTTTTAAATTGCAGGAGGTGGAATAAACTTAGATTGCGGGACAAAGAGAAACGTCTGAAGCTTGAAGATGACTCAGAAGAAAGTGATGCAGAATTTGATGAAGGATTTAAAGTACCAGGTTTTCTGTTCAGAAAGCTCTTTAAGTATGTACCATGTGTTCTGTCCTTTAAGCTTGTCATCAAGCCATTGTGTACAAATTAATATTTTAGGAATTGCACAGTACTTACCTATGGGCCCTTAAGGTACTTGCAACAATTTGTTGCAAGTAGACATACTGTCAAATGAAATTTTAGCCACATGCTGTTCATTAAAATTAGATGATAATAAATTGACTAACGTGAGCATTGGGTATGTTTGTAAACTGATGAATCTGCATGGACCTGTCTCTGCAGACTACAAGCAATGCTTTTCAAAGCCTCTCCCTTAAGTTTTTTGTTGTTGTTTCAATAATTTTATGGGACTGAACCTCTAAGAGTTATATATTAAAATTAATGTTAAGAGTTATATATGATAATCAAACCTCAGGGAGGTTTTATTTTTTGTTTTGTTTTGCTTCTGTGTAGAAATGCAAAATTGTTTTCTGCATGCCTTGTATCATGCCTCTGGGTACAGTACTTTTGAGCTGACCAAATGTGCATCTAAATATTTTATACAGATGTCATCCCAATGTCCAAAGAGAGGACATAGGCAGCATGTCAAGGATTATGTTGCCGTTTGAAGTTGACTTAAGTTCTGTGTGTAAAGTGCCTGAGGACTTCGGGTGGCCACACTGCCTGGTAGATGCAGGCTCAGTATGTGAGGGCTGGGCCAGTGTCCCACAGTGACTGTGAAGTAAACACTGAGCAACAGTTCCAGTTTCTTCACTCCCGGAATTTGCTTAACAAGATGCTTTTGGGAGGCTTCTTAGATACATGTAGGGAGTTAAATCATTACATAGCTTTTTCCTGTCTCTTTTGTATCAGCAATCTATTGATAGTTGGGAACAGGATACAGACTTCTTTCGTGAGATGATTTAAGTTTAATGTCCTTTATAGATTCAGCTGTCAGCCATGCCTAAACGTGTCGATGATGGGCCCTGAAAAATAGCATGCTCTTTATAGTTCCTCTTGAAGAACGTGTGTGTGTGTGTGTGTGTGTGTGTGTGTAATATCTATCTATCTATCTGTCTATATGTATATCTCACTTGTTTTGTGGTGCTGTGTATGAAGCTGAGACCTCCTGTGTGCTAGGCAAGCACTGAACCTCTGAGCTGCACTCGCAGTGCAGTGTCGTAGTTTTCCTGAGTGTCTGTCCTGGGAGGGATGGGGAAGGTAAAGGATAGTTACTTCATCCCACTAAACACGTAGCAAAGCTGAACCTTAGTGGTGCGAGTCAGCTGGGCTGTGACCCTAGCTAGGCAGAAGAAGAGTGGTGTGGAAGGTAAAATCTGAATCCCGAGGAATGTCTACAGATAAATCGTTCATAGCCTGAGGAGGTAGCTGCTTTGTTTATTGCTTCTCTCAAATGAAAATTAACTGTGGAAAGGTAAATAAAGATAACATTTATTGGCAAATCTTTTCATTTTCTCTAAAGTGATTGCATATTGCAGAACAGACCAAACAGTATCAGTCTTGTAGTAGCAACAGGAAGGAGTACTGAAATTACACAGTTAATTGATTTAACAATGATAGGATACTTCTGCATATATAGTGATTAGGTACATGCGCTCAGAAGTTAGACTGAATGTGCATTTTTGAATAAATGTGAGGATTTCTAGCAAATTTCATTAATAAAACCAAACTTTGCTTGGTAAGAGGGCATGTGAGCTGGTGTATTGGCTGTTATTCTGTTGTAGTTAATATAAATATGTTTGTTTTTCTAGTCAGTCTTACACATACTTCAAAAGTATTTTATGTTTGTAAAACCAGGACTTTAAATATTTTATAAATATTATCAAAAGTCTGTATAGAGATTAATAGGATGCGTCTCTATTTTTCTTTGATGATTATGCTTTAACCAGAACTATTTACTGTTTTTTGTTTGTTTTTCTTTTTCTTTTCTTTTTTTTTTTTTTTTTTGACTTTTTGAGATAGAGTGCAGTTCAAGCTGGACTTGAACTCACTGTGTAACCCAGACTACCTCAAACTCGAAGTGATCCTCTTGCCTCAGCCTCCTGAGTACTGGGGTTATAGGCATGTGTCACCACACCCAGCTAGACCAGTTTACTTTTAAACTGTAGATATATTTTTACTGTATTCACTGCACTCTCTGGATTTGAGTTAATAGGACATAGAGTTGTACACAAGGGAGTCAGAGGTACAGTTATGCATGAAGTACTATTTTTTGTAACATATTTTTAACCTCTAAATTTCAAATTTCAGTCTTTTGACTTTCCTTTCAACCAGACCAGCACATGCAGTCTTGGGCTTGTGTGACAGTTCCAAACTGTACAGTGACTGTGGTTACGCTGTGCTGCTTCTTTAGTCCCGAGTGGATGGCAGAGTAATTGCCTTACAGCTGTGCAATAGTTTGAACTTTTTCTTAAGTGTAAATTTTATACACCTTTCAAAGATTTTGAAACCTAGATCCTTGAGACTGTTTTCATTTAAACAGTGGGATTGTTTTTAAAGTTTATTATTAAGTGAAGTAATGTAAAAACCAGAGCCAATCAGTTGTGCTGCTGGAGCCAGAGTCCAGGCCCGTGTATCCCTTTGGCAAGTTCCTAGAAATTTCTTTCACCTGCAGTCTAAGGGCCTCCCGTGCTGGTGTGTCTCGGGGTTGCTGCAGTGAGAACCAGCTACCCTGCGTTCTGCTGGACTTACAGGCCTGCCTAGTTGATGTTTTTCTTAAGTCATTTCTTTAGTGCTGCTTATCCTGGAACTGTTACCACGGGCAGTTTGAAAGCCCTTGTTGGATGGGCTTGGAGATGTGATAGCGCTCAGCAGACTGTCCCGCTTTCCAGAGTCACATGCAGTCTGGGGTCTGTCCCAGCTCCCAATATCCCAGGCTCCTTGGAAGCCATACATCAGTTACAGTTCCTTTCACAGGTTCCTAATGCTGCTTTCCAAATTCAACCATTTCATTTAAGTTTGGGCCCCAGACAGAGAGGTGTTGGCCAGTGTTGGGTGGAGGTGGTGTAGTGTGCTGTGCTGGCAGAACTTGAGGGGTGCTGCGGGGAAGTTCTGGTCCTGAAGAGCTGTTTCTATAGTTCTTTGCACCTCAGTAAAAGGAGGCCCATTACAGTGACTCTAGAAACTGAGTGCACATCCGTTGAGTGGGGGACATTTTGGAATATGTCTTTTTTAAAAGTTGAGGTAATTCTAGGGTAATGAGCTCACAAACCAGCTTCTGATCCAGATTGGGGTTTTTCTAAAACATTGACACCATTGAGACTTAGGGCCCAATAATTTGTTGTTGTGGGTACTTTCCTGTTCATTGCAGATTCGGGACAGCACATCTCCTCTCTGCAGTCAATCCCACTAGTTCTTCCCCTGTAGCAACGAAACTCTGATCCTTGCTAGATATCCTATAGGAGCAACTTGCCCCAGTGGCATTCCTGGTCTGGGTTATTTTCGTAGAGGAATCACTGGAACGATGCAGGCTAGATTTTGATTCCAGTCTGCTCACCTTTGCTGACATTGTGACCTCTTATTTAGCCACGTGAGCCTGTGTTCTCTAGCTATAAAATGTGCTGATTACTGTCTCTGTAGGGTGGTTGAGAGACTGTGTCCAAACCACCTGGCCTAGTGCCTCCTATCAACGGGCTTCTTAAGTGGTAGCTGTTACTCCTGATTACATTCCACATATTTATGGGACTTGTCCTTCCCAAATTAAATGTCCTTATATCTCTACTAGGCTTTCCAGTGTTTGATTTCTAGTCTTCTTCTCTAGAGTGCATCTCCAGTGTATAATTGCAATTAGAAAACTTAAATAAACAGCAGAATTCTCAGTTTTTCTTATAGGTAATAATGACAACAGCTAGAATCAAACTTATAAAATTGATTTGGAAAACACAAGGGTAAAGTTAATTATGACATATTTACTGGGAGAAATTAGCTCAGCAAGAGCTGAGGTCCAAAATGAGGTTTTATGTCAAAATACCAGAGAGCAAGTAATAAATATTTGGTCAGTTAAACAACAATAATAAACCCACCTTTCTTGACAGTTGGTAACTCATTACCTTGGTATCTTCTCTGGGGTGGGATTGGGGATCCTTTAGCTTGTAGCATTTTTTAATTTAAGTAGTTTTTGCTTTAATTCTATTAATATTGCAGATAATCTTCATTACCATTCTGTAATACTGTCTTTCACTGTCCAAAATGTTCTTGCATTGTTCCCTTTTTTTTTTTAAAAAAAAAAAAAACTTTGCTTTGAGATTTATAATTGTGCAATTGATAGAGAAATGAAAATACCACTCCTATTTTTTGAGAAGGAAAGGAGATACATTCTTTTTCTTTTTTTTTTTTTTCTTTTATTTTTTGGCAGAACCAGGGTTTGAACTCAGGCGTTTGCGCTTTCCAAGGAAGTGCTTATTCCACTGAGCCATCTCCCCAGCCCCCCATTATTTTTCTTTGATTAGTATTCTTTATTTAAAATTTTAATAGCACTAATCTTATTGTACTTATTTAAAAAAAATCCTGGAATCAATTTCTTCTTTAAAATATTGAAAATACCTTTTGTATTGTTGAGTCTTCTTTTTTACATCTGCTAATAATGCAACAGAATTGTCTTTTATGTGCTAATTTAGAGAGCAGCCCCTCTGTCTTGTTTATGGGCTTAAAATTTAATTTAATTTTTCCTATAAAAAGGTAATCTGATTAACAAGTGACTTTATAACAGTGTAGGCTATAAATTGTGTTCTGCCTTGCCTTTTTAATACTAAAATTGAATAAAATACATATACTGCCTATTTTTGTAGAAAAATTTATGGAATTCTGTATAAGAAAAATACTTGGAATTTTTTCCCAGAAAGAAACTGAATAAAAGATAATAAGTTTATGCTTGTTTACCAAGCTATTTCTAATGTTGAAAAAGAAATGAAATAGTCCCTAATTACTCCATCTATCAGTTTAATTAGAAATGTGTTAATGTTCTATAAAGAAAAATTTGTGACTTTATGTAGGTGATCAAAAATGCATGACCTTATAAATACAATACTCATGTAAAACACACATCCGGCGCATTTTTCTGATTGGTACTAGAACCTCGCCACATGATTAATTCATGAGTGCCTTCGTGATGATCTGTATTATCCACCATTTGCCATTTTCTCTTTTCTTGTTGGTGTTTGTTGTTGTAGGTACCAGCAGACAGGTGTTAGGTGGCTGTGGGAATTGCACTGCCAGCAGGCAGGAGGAATTCTGGGAGATGAGATGGGATTGGGCAAGACCATCCAGATAATTGCCTTCTTGGCAGGTCTGAGCTACAGCAAGATCAGGACTCGCGGTTCAAATTACAGGCAAGTGCTCCTCTGCAGACTGTCAGTCTGTGGAGCTCAATTAATATTTCATCAGATGTATTGCTGTGGAGGAGGGTCTTGTGAATTATTGATGACATTTCAATTACAATATTCCTTTAATTCTTTTAGTGGGGGACATCAAAGGAAAAATTTTACGAGACAATGGAGCTGTAGGGCAGGAGAAATTAAACATGTAACACTTTTAATGAATTCCAGGCATTGATGCTTCATTTTGCAGATGAGCCCCACTAGATATTTTGGGTCAATACAATGTCTAAGGTTAGCTCCTGCAAATGGATTGTTTACAAACTCAATTATGTTAATATCAATAGTTTACACAATATGGAATTTTAAATTAGGTATAATACCTTTAGTTCCATTTATTAAATTTTACATTAAAATATTTGTTTTGGCAGGAGACCAGGTGAGCATTACAGTAAGAACAAAGTCTATTCATGGGGAAAGTTGGAGCTTTGAAGAAGCCATTCTGCCTAATTTCCTTCGTAGTCAGAGTGCATGACAACATTTGCAGAGAGCACTCGGGTTTTTTGAATGAAGTTACTTCTGTGCTTACCGTGCCCTCAGCCTCCCTCAGTTTGTACAACATCTGTATATATATTCTGAGTCTGAAGTCTAAGTGATTGTCTAAAATGATAGAAAGCTACATTTAGATTTTAATCCTTATTTTCTGTAGAAGTTTACAAAATTGTTAAGGCTTTAGTGTCCCCAAGAGCGAACATCCAGTCTGTGGCGTGGGGTACCATTGAAGTACTTGATCTTGAAATAAAGAACTAAAAGCATTTCTGTTTTTAAGCTATACGTTGGTTTTATGAAACTTGTATTGGTAGAAATATTGTGACAATCCAAGCCCGCCTTTTATTTCAGCAGGCTTATCCAGTGGGTAACAGCACGATAGCTGCCGTACAGCTATGTCCTGGGCACCTTGGGCGCTCACTGCATGGGGCAGTGGGGGGAGCTTACTGTGGCACATGTGTCACAGCAGGCTGTTCGTATCATTGAAAGCTCTAAATGGTTCATTGTCACTGCATGGGATTGGGAGAGAGAGGCCTGTAGACGAGAAGCCATGTGCCTGAAGTCAGTGGCTGCAGGAAGTTGCCATCCCACACTCCAGGGGTTGCTGGGAAGGTGTAGTAGAGAGCCAGGTAGCACGGAAAACTGGTGAGTAAAGGCCGCAAGATTTGGTCTTTAGAGTTTAGTACTTTGCTTGTATTTCTTACTCTCATTCAGTTAGCAGACAGTAAGAAGTGTTTGAAGTTTTAAAAATATTTTTGAAATCCCAGATGCATTTATATAAATGTAGCAGTGGGGAAAGTCATTGAGATTTTCAAATGCTAAGTGTTTTGTTTTGGTGGTTACAAGAAAGTTGTATTGAAACAGAGAATTCTCTTCAATATTGAAATTCTCTTACATTTTGCCCAAAAATAAGTGTAAACATTCCAGCCCAAGGCAAAAGTCAAAGTTGAGAAATGGGCATTTAGGGTGTTCTTACCTATGAATGTCATTTGTTTAGTATTAGAAAAATACTTTCTCTGTTCTAAATAAGCTCTTCGTTAGGCTTGGTCTCTGTGACACTTGGGTATTTTGATAAATAGGCTGCCCCAGATGGTTTCTAGTACTGTCTTTCATTAAATGATTTCTGGGATTTTTCTCATTCCCTCTTCTTTCTTCTCTTCTCCTCCTATCAAGAAACTTTCATGGAGTCTAATACCCTGGGCCTGAGAAACCGAAAGTCATCCCTGCAGTGTAGTTGTGATCTAAAAATTAAAACATGCTCTCTCGAGTGGTGACAACCCTACAAGGAGCAAGTCAGGGCTAATAATGAGCATCAGCTGTAATCAATTAACTATCAATGCTCATATCCTCTTTTCCATAATGAAATAGTTTGGGACATTGGACCAGCGCCCAGATCATCTTTATTAAAATGGTATTGGTGGAAGTGGCTTTTGAGAGTGCGGTGATGTATCAGCCAAACAGCTGGGCCCTTTAGGAACAGAGGTGTACCACTGAGAGCTCTGAATGGTTCTCTGTTACTGCATAGATTGGGAGGAACTTGGTTCCCTTCTCTTAATGTGGCCAAGCAAACTGAGTAACACTTTCCTAATGGTCTTTTTTTTTTTTTTAAATCATTTATTTATTTATTTTGGTACTGGGAATTGAACTCACAACCTTATACTTGCTGGACAGGCACACATGCTGTTGAGCTATTTCCTGACCCTTTTTTTTATTTTTTAAAAGAGAATAAAATATAGTAAAAACCAAAATAAAACATTTGAAACAGAGAATTTTAGTAAAATAATAGAAATTCAGTAATGATTGTTATATAATGTTCTCTTCAAATTACCTGATGGGCTTATAAATTGTCTACCACTGAGGCCAGGTGACCCTGAGTTTCTTTTCTGTGTTTATATCCTAAAGAAAAATACCCCTTGAGGTCAAATCCAGTCTGTGAACTGGCGTTGCCTTGTTGCCTGTGTACTTTTCCTTTGAGTGGTTGCAGGCTGTAGGTGTTGGGGCTCTACTTTGGTATGTTCTTTATGTTGCAATTTTAAGGTCCATGAACATACACTGTTAGTTTCTATGATACCAAGAAACTTCATGTTATAAGAAATTTGGTTTACAGCCGAGCATTGTGGCTCACACCTTATTTCCAGCTGCTTGAGAGGACGAGGCAGGAGAATCCCAAGTTTGAGGCCAGCCCAGGCAGCTTTGCAAGAGTGTCTTAAAGTAAATTGCAGGGTTGCATCTCCATGGCGGAGCACGTTCCTGTCATGCAAGAGGCCCTGCTTCCAGTACCCAGGACTGGAGAAGTTTGTGTTACTGTTTTTGTTTTTAATGTGTGTGGTAGGCCTGTTTATTTTCAGGACACAAACATATTATGCAAAATTAATTTTAAAATCTATACTGGTTTTTGTTTTCCCCGTACATAAGGAATATCCTGCTTGCTTTTTACTTTGCCATTCTTATTTATCATAATGGGTCCCATGAAGTTTATGATGGGGGAAATGAATTATTTTTCTTTGACATTCCTCTTAGTACTTTAGTATCTTGGTTAGCCTTTTGGTTAATTTTAGTTTAAGAATAAATATTCTGAAAAAGTTTACAGCTTGCCAGGGCAAATATACTTTACAATTCCTGATAAGACTCTAGGTTGCAACCAGCCAGTTTCCACCTGCAGGTTGAAATAGTTGGCCATGTGGAGCTAGTGGTATATCCCAAATTCATTAGGTAATCAATGATTATCAAAGATGAAAGGAACTGAACTCTGTTTGGTAATTGATGTTAATCACTGTAGTACATTTAGCCTTTCTTAGGCTCATCTCGCTGGTATTGAGGTTGGAAAAAGGCAGTTCAGTTGATGTGACTATTAATGGGTTTGATTGCCCCTTCTGTGGTCCAGGAACAATCTCTCTCGCTCTGAGATTTCAACTCGGCATGAAAACCTCCCTGTGCTTCTAATAGATGGAGAGTAGCAGAAATTAAAGGGCATATTAATACCAGATAGATGTGCAGCGAAAAGAAAATAGTAGCCTTAAATGATAAAAGTGTGAGTCTCCAATGTCTGAGCTTACGGAAGGTTACACACACACACACACACACACACACACAGAGGGAGAGGGAGGGGCAACCTGAAAAGGCACGTGATGACTGCTTATCTGTATAAGTACCAAGTGCTAACCAGTTGCACCACTGGAGCTCCAATTTGTGCTTATGTGAATGTCTTGGATTTTAAATATTTTAGACAGTTTTTGACTGGTTGTTCCCTAATCCCTTCTAAGAGAATATTGATAACTCTCTTTCATTACCCTTGGAGGATGTAAAGACGCTGGCGCATTTAATCCTTTTTAAAAATGAATGCCATCATGGAAGGGGCTGAGGGCAGAGTGGAGTGCCCCTCTCCTTGGGGAGCTGAGCAGCCCTGCCCTGGAGATGTGCTCAGCTTGTACATCTGTAGGAATTGTTGAGTCTGTTGCAGCTTCTGGCTTCTTGTGGTTCCCCGCCTGCTCCCCAGCCAAGGGCCAGGGCCTGTGACATATAGCAGGAGCAGGGAGGGTTTATTGGTGAACAGAGAGTCTTGTTACGCTGGAGTGCAAAGGTGAGTCTTCTTTCACTTAGGGCTTTATCAACATCTCCATTTTTTATTAGGAGCACCAGTTAGTTTTCCTTTGTGGAAGTTTATTTAAGTTTAAGCACTGTCTAATTTGCTCTGTGTGCACAAAGTCTCTTTAAGTTCAGGAGTCACTTACTGAGCTATAGTAGGAAATAAAAAAATCACATATAATCCCCAAATTCAGAATAATTTCTTTGAACATTTCGATATATTTTACCTCAACATTAAAAAAAAAATGTTTTTCTGTACTGATGCTCATTTCTTACCTGCTCTGCTTAGAAGGAGCTAGGAGGAGTGACAGGGTAGGGTCCTGACTGGTCTGGGTACAGCGAGGTAGGACTTGTCCAGGAAGCAGCAGTCTGGATGGTGAGTCGGAGGCATCTGGGCAGGGAGAAGGAGCAGGCTAAGGCGGAAGTGAAAGCTAGACTCGGAAGACTGTGTCACTCGGGGTAACCGAGGCCAGTTCCAGCAGGCAGGATTCTGGCTACAGGCAAGTGCTAAGGGCAGCAGTGAGTGGGTGAGGCTGGGGTGAGCAGAGATCAGAGCCTCCAGGCCCCATAGCAAGAGCCCAGAGCTGGGGGCAGCCGCTGGAGGTCATAGAGTGAAGGGATGTGGCATCAGAAATTTCTCTTCAAAATAACTATACTGGAAAGTGCCACGACACAGGTGAGAGTTGGAACTTGAGTTATGGTGTAGAGTGAGGGACTGGTGGCTTGGATAGAGACTGAGGCGGTAGAAGTCGCAGGAGTTTGGTGCAGGTTGTTGGCATGGGAGAGCAGGAAGTCGGATCAAGGAACAATGCCTGGATTTCTAGTTTAGGCCCAGAGAACAGCGACGTTTCTGTCCATTGGACTGGGAAACAAGGCAGGGTGGGTGACGTGCTGCCTTGGGCACATCCTTGTCAGCACTGAGATGTCCAGGGAGGGTCAGGAAGATCTAGGCAGTCCCATAGTTATCATCCTGGGTGTTCACAGAGTTGGAACAGGATTAGTGAGATAGGAGTAATTCGTGTGCAGTTCGTACCACAGAGTCATCATCCCTGTTGGCAGAAAGTGGGAGGGAAGGGGAAGAAGGACAGTTCAGTGTTGCTGCTGGCTGCCTAGGTAGCAGGGAGGCAGGTGGCCTGCAGGCCTCTTAGCCTTGGCTCCCAGCTGCCTCTTGTAGTGTATGTGTTACGGACGCATGGACTCCTAGAGAGTTTACTTACTAGATTTTAACCTCAGTGACATTTTTGTTAATGAAGATAAAAATACCAGTCAGTTCTCATCATAGGTTGTATTTTCTTTTTTGAATTGTTCAGGTTGTTTTTGTGCTTTTGGCAGCGATCACCCATTATGGGATCTTTCATTGTTGTGTTTTCTCCCTGGACATTCGGGTGCAGGTTTCAGGGGCTGGGCCCCACTATGATTGTCTGCCCAACAACAGTGATGCATCAGTGGGTGAAGGAGTTCCACACGTGGTGGCCTCCCTTCAGAGTGGCGATTCTACATGAGACTGGCTCCTATTCCCACAGAAAGGTAACAGTATGATGCTTGAGTATTGGTTATGTGTTTCATTTAAAGTCTTTCATTTTACAATTTCACTTTTTCTTTGAACCATGTACTGTATATCCCCAAGTTTGTTTTTGTGCAGTTAAGCTTGTTTTATCATTCTTGACTTCACTTAGAGCTCTGTATCTTCACAATAGTTATGAACACTGGCTTTGTTGTTCTAATGGCAGTGTGATGAGCTTGTGGTCAGCAAGTTGTAACTGAGCACAGGCAGGGCGCCACAAACCTGGGTGTGAGGTCACAAATCTGGTAGGTTAACTGGAGGGATGGTGAAGAGTAGCAACTTGAAACAGCTTTAGGAAAGTGGATACGAAAAGTAATTTGTGGATTGAGCATCCCTAACCCAACTGAAATACACCCCAAACTGGACCTTTTTGAACACTGACATGAGACCATGCACAGTAAACCCACGTGTGACCTCATGCCAAAGGTCTTAGTTAAAACATAGACTTGCTAAAACTGTTGCGTAAGGTTCGAATGAACCATAAGCAAATTGAATGTTTAGACCTGGCTCCCACCCTAGGTGTCAGGGTGTGTCTCAAATCCAAACTCTGAAGTGTTTCATCAAGCATTTCAGATGTAAAGAATACATGCCTGGTAAATGAATTTATTAGCATGATTTTTAAATCATGTTCTTGATGAATGGAAGAAACAACCTGCCATTTTGAGAATTTTACAGGTATTATTACTTTTTATTTTTGTTGCATTTTGCTCCTGAATCTGAGGCTATAAAGATTTTATAGCTGATGTATTAAGTTCTTTGCTTCTTTATTCCTAGTTTGGTTAGCAGCTAGAGTTTCAAAAAGAATGTTTTCTCTTGCTCCTGTGGGCAGTGGACAGGGCTGTCCCGTGTTGTTTCTTCTCCATCTCACCCACATGGTCTGCTCTGTAGAGCAGGGCCTATGTCTCATTCACTATCCCAAGTGCACCTGGGCATCTCTCTCTCTCTCTCTCTCTCTCTCTCTCTCTCTCTCTCTCTCTCTCTTTCTTAGAGGGAAAAAAAGATACAGAATTTCAAAACAAGATGATAGGAAATTAACAATGGTTATTATGTTGTATATTGTTATCTTTAAAGTATTTGCTTAGATTACCAGATAATAGGCATGTTAAATTGATCAAACCCTGACTGAGCTTGGTGATGATGCCTACTTTCTTTTTGGGAGGGCAAAACTTGAAAGAGTGGGCATTTTACTTTGGGTGATAGTGGTTGTCTGTCAGCTTTGCGGTGACTTCCAGTTTACAAAGGGCTTTACCTTAGAGCTTCTTATTGCTAAAGAAAAGCAGCATTATCATTTCTTTGTGTTTTTACTCTGATGCTTAACTCCCTACTGGTCTTTTCCCTTTATGAAGTATCTCAGCTCTCTATACATGGAAGATGTTATCCAAAAGATGGAGAAGATGTGCTTTTGAGTCTTTCAAACTGTATTTTTTTTTTTTTTTTTTTTTACCAGAAATTTAACTCAGGACCTTGTGCTTATCAGGCGGGTGCTTATGCCACTGAGCTATCTCCTGAGTCCTGTATTCTTGACTTAGAAAATGATAGCCGTATTATTTATTGTTAATGTTAGGTTATAACTCTGGGGGTGACATTTTTATATGTGTGCAGGTCTCTGTCATCTCACACACAACAGTAGCTTATGAATGTGTCGGTAGAGTGCAGTGGAATCTGTTTCTTGCTCCTGTTGCAGAGAGTCTGTCAGTGCTGGTCTGTTCTGTGAGCTAGCATGTAACACCAGCTCCCTTACAGCTGAGATTTCTACAGGTAAGCTTTCCATAACCCATGCTGTTCTACCTAAATTTAGTGTGGTACTCTGGCGTTAGAGACATTTGCTTCTGGACAAAACAGAGGTGAGGCATTTCTCTTTAGAATTTTTTTTTTTTTTTTTTAAATTTTAGGGAAGGGTCTATAGGGTGTTGAGGGTTTCACTACTAGATTGGACTCATAGTGATCTGCCTCTTTACAGCCTCCCAAGAGCTAGGATTATAGGCACGCCCCACCATGCCCAGTCTCAATTGCCATCTCAGCATGTCCCGGGGGCTGGCCAGCACGGCAGGCCTGGGGATTGAACCCCCAGCCCCTGTGCCTTGCTTGCAGGCACTTTAATCCGCTAAGCTATTTGGCCAGCACTTTAGAAAATTTTAAGAGTAATAATGGCAATTGTTTTCCTTATCATCCAAGTGGAATATCTTGATTTTCTTAATGTTTTGTTATAGTTGGTCAGACACAAAATTTCAAACATTTTTTTCATTAGAAAGCTAATATCATATGATCAGTTTCTAAACTAGTACACATCTATCATTTTTCTTTCCCAAATTGCATTTTAGCTTCTAACTTCTTTCACCATTTAATACTACATTATCTTTGTTAATAATGTCTTTGATTGGCAGCATAATTTAGAGTCATCAAATGCACATCCAGCAACCGTGCAGAAAACTATGCATCTAGTAGTTTCACATGGTTAAATCTGATAAAGAAGTTTTCAAAATCTCCTTTAATTGCCAGTGGAAATCTCATTTAATAAGCATTTTAATTTTTTTCCTTCATTGTTATTTGCGATCTCTTTTTTCTGATGTAGAAAAGCTTTCATGCGAATCGATTAGTATTTGTTGGACAACTGTAAACATTATATTCCGGTTGTTCAGTAGTATTAGGTCGCCAAAGAATGAATGGTGGTTTAAACTAACCTTGAAGACCCAGCTATTTACTTGGGGAAAGGAAATACATGAACATGTAATGGCAAGAGGCAGTCTTGTGGTTATTCCACATCTCCCGGTAGGGGGTGGCATGATTAGCACTGTGCTTTAAAGCTTATCTACTGATTAAGAACCCTTTTTCAGTGCGCTGGAAGAAGGCGCTGTGCTGTTGCTCATGTTCTCGCATGGCTGTCACTTGCTCTCTCCTACCTTTTTGTGCTGTGAAGGATCGAGTGATTCTGTGGACTATCTTGGATAATCCGAAGAAGTTTACCTTATTTTGCTCAAGTCATGACATTTGGAGGCATAGGAGAGGCAAAAGCAACCACAGCGTTAAATTCTAAGGGCAGAGTCTTTGCAGTTCCTATTCCAGGCTGTGAGTCTCAGACCTGCCATCTCAGACTGGGAAGATATCAGACGAGTCACTTAGTTCCTCAGAGCCTAGTGTGATGACCTGTGAAGTGGGAATTTTCTGATCATTTTGTGAGGGTTTATATAGAATAAATGGGTGTGAATGAAGAGCCTAGTGTGGCCCTGAAGCCTAACTCCAGTGTTCCTTTTGTTTGGAACTAAAAGTACCGTACGCCTCTTCATCTTAGAAATGGAGAGAAGATGGCAAGAAAGGCATTGCTGTCAGATTCAGGGTGTAGGCTGGATAGGAAGCTCACCCCTGCTTTACCAGAAGCACTCACGGTTATTCTGGTTTTCTCATGTTCAGAAACATTTGTTTCTAAAAGGAAAGAATGAAAGAGACATTAAAACTCTTTATGAGAAGTACAAGGTATGGTTAAAAAGCAAACTACACAGAAATTTGGTCATCTGATGAGCATCGTGTGCTCTTTAAAAGGTCCATTTTCTGAGGCAGTAGAACAGAACGACTTGGCCTTTTAAAAAGCTGAAAGCTGGCCAAGTAAAAACAAGTAAAAGTGGAGTGGGAGCCACACAGTGTCACGCGGATCCACAGTATTTCCGACCTGTTCCAGGTACACGATTACTGCCTAAGGTAGTACAGTTTCTGTTAACTTCAGAGTCAGTGTACACACCTGATACAAGAAATGACAGACGCTCGGCTTGTTTTCGGAGATATATTATAAAATTGTGTTGCTGGAGTCCTTTTTTTTTTTTTCATTGTCAGCACAAATCCTTGTTTATTAAAGATTTAGCTTGAAGGAAATTTTAATTAATTACAGGTGCGGTAAATCCTGCCTGGGAAGCCGGGCTGTGCTTGCTGTGAATGGCCTTCATGTGCCCGTGCTTCCTCCGCTCCCCGCGCCTGACAGTGTGATTTATGGCTGTTGTTTTCCACCAGTCCACTGTTTGCCCTCTAGGAGGGATTGGTCTCCTGAGCCTCCATAATAACAGCAGCACTTCCACAGACATCCTTTAATGACAACAGCCCTGCATTCAGTAAGTCAGGCTAATTGCAGATGTACCCTATTAATTGCAAAAACTAGGAGAGGTTACATATTTTACAAGCTTTTAATTTGAAACCGCCCGAGATGATTTGTCTTAAGTGTTTGGATGGAGACGTCTATAATATTCAACAACTCACCATTATTGAAACTGTAGTCTAAGCAGTCACAGAATTCTGAGATTGAATCAGGTGAAGACAAATAGTCTTGGATGTGTTGCTACCCAGTGGCTAAGTGGAGGTTGTATATTCAGTGGGGACGTTTTGCACAATTTCTTATTCTTGCCATAAGGGCCTCTTCTTACTTCTTGTGATTCATTGTATATCTTTCTGAATACTGTAAGAATCCTATAATTTCTATAACATTACAGAATATTCTAGGTAAACTTTGATCCTTAAGCAATCAGAAGAGGCTACACATCTCTACAGTAGGGTGCTCTGAGAGGTTCAGGGTCCTGTTTATCTGTGGTTAACACTCCCATCTGCACAGATGTCATCCAGATGTGCTTCTGGGTGTGTCCTTGAGGCTAGTAGGGTGACTGTGGCAAGGTTGTGCATCCAGGGGCTCGCAGTTCCAGAGCACCTGAGCAAGTGCAGCTGCATTTGCAGCATGTGGCTGTGCCCAGTTGGCATTTTATAATGTGGGCGCTGATTTAACTTTGCTCTGATTTAAGCCCAGGCAGCGGTACTCACTGTCCTCTTCCTGCCTCTGTGCACAGCTCTCACTGGTATGAACTCGGTCGTAAACAGTTCACTTTGCTGTGGCCCCTTGCCCCACTGCTGCCATGGCTTCTGGCTGCTCTGCTTTCCTGGAGGGCAGCCTGGGGGCTACTGCCTAGAATCCCCCTACAACATTCACATGTGCCAATGGACAGTTCTGGCTCATCAGAGCCAGTGCCTGGTCGGTGAGGTGCTGGAGTGCCGCCTGCTGCTCTGGGCAGTGTGTTTCTGCACTGGGTACCAGTGGCCAAGGAGTGGAGCGGGGCAGGGGAAGCGCAGCTATGCAGTTGTCAGAGTCAGGGAAGGATCCCATGGGGCATGGCCTGTGGTGGGGAAGTGCGCATGCGAGCAGCCACAGGAGCAGTGCTGCTCTTGCCTGTGACCCTTGTCAGGTCTCAGGCATTGTGATCATTCTGTAAAGCAGCTTCATTAGCTCTTGCAATGTCCCGTCTGTTGTGACACATGAAAGCCAGTTCTCTCTCTGTATTCTGCTCCTTCAAAATCCTCCATGCACTTTGTATTCCTTTCTACTTTGCCGAATTAAGACATTTTAATCCTAGTTGTTTAAGATATTAACAAACATCATCTCTTAGATGATTTTGAGTTCTCTACAACAGTTTACGTAGATGGTTGTGGTTCCATGGTGCTGTTAGGCTCCCTGATACGTAACTATTCTTGTATCCCTATGAGAAGCCTTATTAAGTTAGAGCAGTGATGATGAACCTTACAGAGACCCCAGGCCCACTGATCTGGAGCGCACTCTCTAGTCTCCTGTGTGTGGGAACAGTAAACTCCCTGGTGCTCTGCGTGCCTCACGTGTGAAGCCCTCAGATGTGCTGCGGCATGGACGTAGGCGCACAGCATGCTCGGGTTCCTCAGGGCCAGGCTGATTGTTTTCTGGGGGTCCATTTCCACTTGGGTGATGCATGCTGCAACTCTCGTCCTTATCAGTGTTCCATGCTGTGCTAGTGAGCGTGCCATGCTGTGTATAGTCTATGTCTGTGACTTTGTCTTGATATTTCTAAAATCATACATGTGCTCTCTGGGCTTCTCAGAGGTTGGTTTGATTGGTTTGGTCTTTTCAAAGAATTGTTTTTAATTTTTCTTTATCAGTTCCACCAGGATTTTTCTGTAAGATTCACAGTGACATTTCTCTTTTCAGTTTTGTCATTTTCCTTCTTTAGCCCATTGAGCTGGCTGCACTTCATAATATCATTCCTTCTGATTGGTGTCTTTGTAAAGAATGAGTATTCATGTAGTCTGAGGCCGTACAAATACCCAAGTCCTTTACACCCTCTACTGTAACTCACTCTTTTCTTTTTTCTTTCTTTCTACTAAGAATCAAACTCAGGACCTTGTGCTTGGCAGGCAGGTGCTTGTGCCACTGAGCTCAGTCGCTGGCCATGTCTTGTTAACCTTACTCTGTGTAAGACACCATGGTTGGGTCTCCAGGTAGCCTGTGGCATGCCCCTCTGTCCAGGAAATAGTTCAGGGACTCGCTTCTGTCTGTTGTGGTGTTTAAAGGCAGATAAGGTTTGTGGCTCTTCCCTTGTAAGTCTGTCGTCCCCTATACAGTCCACAACATCCTCTTCACTCGTTTCTGTTTGTCTGATATGATACCGTGTTGCTAATCCTGCCTTTTTACTTATATCCCCCCACCTTGTATCTTTGTTATTACTCACGTTTCAACTTCATACTGGCAGAGTGTTGCCTCTCTTTTTAGCACAAGGCCAGACTTCTTCCTCCCCCTGTGGGAAGTCTCCATGCTGGGAACTCATTCCTGGTGGCGCCCTCCAAAGGGCGTTTGCTGTGAAACCTGCGACTGTATTTTCCGTTTTTCACCTTTTCTATTTTTTCTTTCCCTGACTTTTGCTGTTCTATTGTTTGATAGTTTTACCTTTTTCTAGTATATAAATGGATAACAGCTGTTAATGAGTAGTAGACTCAAATTCTTAACAGAGATATTTTAACTTACTTTTCTCACACAATTAAGAATTAAGCAGCGTTCATTACCTGGCCCCATCTTACTTGTGGAAGGGTGGATATTTTACTCTGCTTTTATTTTCCCCTAATTTCAGTCCAGATCGGGAATTATAGTAGCATTTAAAATATATCCCTTTTTATATTTTGGATTGTTTCTTCACAGTTCCATTCTCATTTAGAAGTGTCTTAACATTTAGACCTCATTGTTACGTTTGAATGCTATATGCTGAGCCTTCTGTGATGCAGTGAGAGGAGCGGGGCCTGACCCCTGGTTTCTGTAGCTCTGGCGAGGTCTCTTTCTGCCTCTGAATTCGGCTCCACTGCTCGCTGGCTGCCTGACCTGGTGCACTGGATGTGAGTCTGAGCCACAGTTCTCATCTCTGTTGTGGGGCTGAGCATCCGTGATTCTGTTCTTGCATAGGGGTTGCCATGACACTGTCTGTGACAAACCTGTAGGGCCATGGAGATGGCATGCCCTGGTTCTTCCACAGAGCTAGTGTCCTGTGCACACACTCTGTGTTGTGCACACTCTGGTGAGCAGCCCCCGGGTGGCATGTTTTCTAACTTCTCTGTCTGAAGCTGGAGTTTGTTACTGTCCCATCTCTCTCTCTCTCTCTCTCTCTCTCTCTCTCTCTCTCGTATTTTAAGGAAGGGTCTACAGGGTGTTCAGGGTCTCATTATTAGATTGGACTCGTAGTGATCTGCCTGTTTACAGCCTCTCAAGAGCTGGGATTGCAGGCACACGCCACCATACCTAGTCCCAATTGCCGTCTCAGCATGGCCCTGGGTGTGGGGCCAGCATGGCCCTGGGTGCAGGGCCGGCATGGCGGGCCCAGGGATCAAACCCCTGGACTTTGCGCCAGCTTGCACGTGCTTTAATCCGCTGAGCTATTTGGCCAGCCCTGGAGTTTGTTTCTGCTATTTAACATTTAAGGCCTGGAGTTCTTCCCCCCACTAAGAATAAATGAAGAATTTTCTCTCTAGCTGCTGACGTCTTTAGTGTAACAGAAAAGATACTCAGTACAGGTAGTTTTTTTTTCCTTTGAAGGAGATCTTTTCTTTCTTTGTTTTGTTCTGACTGGAAGGGCGGATTGACTGGCTGGCTGCCTGTCCCTCTTCTCTTCTCTTCTCTTCTCTTCTCTTCTCTTCTCTTCTCTTCTCTTCTCTTCTCTTCTCTTCTCTTTCAATTTTTGGAATTCACACGTACTGTAGGGTATGCTTAGGGATAACTCTCAGTTCCTGCCTGACATGCTTGAATATTTTTCTCTGTAGACTCCAAGTCTCTCGTCAATGTTTTTTTTTTTTTAAGTCATTGCTTTTATGTCCTTTCCATTCCAGCCATCTGGAATTTGTGTTACTGTATATCTTAAAAGAACTCCTGGATTCATCATGTCTCTTTGGGTTATCTTGGTTCTGTCTTAAAATAATCATCTTCTATCCACTTAGGTGTTTTAAGCTTAACCAGGATGGGCACAAATGTTTCTGAAAAATAAAACTTAGTGAACTGTTTGATTTTATAATTTATTTTTATCTCTTTTGAAACTGCCTCCCTCCCCATAGTGGGTCTCTTAGGGTTTTCTACCTTTCAGATTAAACAAATGTGAAGTGGATTTCCTATGCTGATGACACTGTAGAATGGTGTGTATCACGTTTGTATTTGCACATTTTTAGAAAGTGCTATCAGTTGTGCGATGATTGAAAGGGTATCATTTTAAATCGTGTTCATTTTGCTTCATTTCCAATTTAAAACTGGGCTTACTATTTTATTATATTTTTAGGAGAAACTAATTCGAGACATTGCTTATTGTCATGGAATTTTGATCACTTCTTACTCCTACGTTCGGCTGATGCAGGATGACATTAGCAGGCAAGACTGGCACTATGTGATCTTGGATGAAGGACACAAAATTCGAAACCCCAATGCTGCCATCACCCTGGCTTGTAAGCAGGTATGACCTTACACGGGAAGAGCTTTCCAACTGGGTAATAGAACTTAGTTAGGAGTAGGCTGCTGCTTTTAGTAAACTCATTCATTGTGTCTTTCCTTAGGCACTGTGTAAGGAGTTGAAAGCATACATTTTGCATCAGGGCAGAATATTCTCTCTGCTTGCCTGTAATCATGTTTTTAGAATTATAGTTACTCACATTATAAAATGTTTCTTATGGGTTACTTAAATATAACCAAATTCAACTCTAATCCTTAATAGTCACCTTGAATGGTATGATACAGTGTTTCCTGTCTTTTCACCTGTATGTAATGAGGGGATGGTAATGGTGTAAAGCGCCTGTATGTTGGAGAGAACCAGTGGCAAAGAGCCGAGATGCTGAATAAATGTGTGGACTCACCTGCCATAGGCGTGTTTTCAGGCAGGGACTGCGATCATCTGTGAGAGGTGAATTTAATAGCAAGGTGCTTTCTTTCTCACAATAGTTCCGCACACCTCATCGGATCATCTTGTCGGGCTCACCAATGCAGAACAACCTTCGAGAGCTGTGGTCGCTCTTTGACTTTGTCTTCCCAGGAAAATTGGGCACCTTGCCTGTGTTTATGGAACAGTTCTCTGTCCCCATCACCATGGGAGGATACGCCAATGCTTCCCCTGTGCAGGTAACACAGCGGATGACAGCTGCACCTCAGTGCTTAGAATGTTCCTGCTGTGTAGAATACTTTGTAGCCAAGTCCTTCGGAATGTAAAAGAAACGGCCAAGATTATAATTAGTATCTGATAAAAATCAGGAGATTATTTCTGTTGACAGATCATATTTGTGTGGATAAGTTTTATTAAACTCACGTGAAGTATTTACTCAAGAGGAAACCCCTAAAACAAAACTTATCTTTGCATGATAGAAGTGAAACAGTGTAGTGTTAGTTGTTCCTGGGACCTTTCTCTGATGTGACATGTGATCCCTGATCAGAAATCATGAACAGAAGCAAGTACATTCTGGACAGTGCGCAGCTCTTGGACAGTGCTTCTCATAATGTATCGGAGGCTGAGGACAGGAATGTTCGGGAAGACAAAGAGGAGATGAATCCTGTGACCAGGTTATGGAAAAACAGACCTTGAAGAGCAAGGCCTTCTCGGTTAGGGCAGCAGTGTAAACATGGCCGTGTTGTATGATGGCGCAGCCAGCGACCTTCTGGGCTACGCTGGGGGTGCTTACGGGGTAGGGCTATGGGCGCTGCCAGGGGCAGCTGTCCTGGGGGCAGCTGGAAGGGCTCCTTGGCTCCCAGGTTGCTCAGGCTTACAGGGTCATCACAGTAGGGAAGGTGGCACTGAGGGACCTGTGGGGTCACCGGGGGGAGGGTGGTGAAGAAGTGGACCTGGACGTAGGTGGTGTGCTAAGCAGGACATGGGAAGCAGGAGGGCCAGTGGCATTTATAGGCAGGACAAGCAAGATGTGGAAGCTGCTAGAATAAATAAAATAGAACAGTCAGGATGGCACGCCGCTGTTGTGCCAGGTACTTGGGAGGCTGAAACAGGACGGTTGGCCTCGTGTATGGCTGTGTCATTATGGATCCTTGTAGCCTGTCTTGGGCTGAGTGACCTTTGATTTCAGAACCACTGGCTCTTGTCATGCTGCCCTACAACGTCGCTAGTGTGCAGCCGTCTCTGCTGGTGCCGCCTGCTTCCCACGCTTTGGATCTTCTGATCTTCAGTCTTGGAGAGTAGTGGTTGCTTCGTGCTTTTGAAGAGTACAGGCTTGTAAACATTCATTTGAAAGTGATTTTTCCCCTAGGGATTGGCCAAGACTCTATGTTAGAGTTCAGCTGTATAACAGTAGCTGCACAAAATTAGTATGTTTTTGTGTGTTGTACATTTTGGGGAGATGAGTTCTTGCATTGATATTATGAAAGTTCCTGTCCCTTGGAGTATACAGGATTTAGGTGAATTTTTCCAAGCCATTTTCTGACCATTTTTAGCCAGTTTTATACAATTGTTTATCCTTCTTTTATTTTTAAGCAGTAGAATCAGTTGAAAGTAAGAACAAACACATTCCTTCAACATACAGTAATTTCCTCCCCCTTTCTTTCATTAAAGGTTAAAACTGCTTACAAGTGTGCGTGTGTCTTACGTGACACCATAAACCCATACCTGCTGCGGAGGATGAAGTCGGACGTCAAGATGAGCCTTTCGTTGCCAGATAAAAACGAGCAGGTCTGTAGAGCCAGGACGCCTGGGCTCTGCCCCAGCATGTACGTGTGGGAATGGACCTGCCTCTTCCCTCCAGTTTCCCCACAAGTACTGACCAGGCCAGCAGGCTGGTGCTCCTCACACAACTGTGTGTCAGTTGTACCTGCTGTGGCATCTGTCCTGAGCGGGACTCTTCCTCTAGGCTTCAGTCCCCAGTGATAACATGTGCCTTACACCTGTGAAGTCAAGGCTGCTTTTCTCGTGTTCTCCCCCTCCACCCCTTCACCATCGCATCACTGGCCCTCAGGCTGTGCTTCTCTGTACTGTGCATTCCAGGTCAGCCAGTGCCCTGGATGCCCGTTTCCCTTCTCAGTGTGCCCTGCCTGCTTCGTGCCCTGTAGCTTTGCTCAGAAGCTGCTGCTGTTGGTCTCTGGTGGGCCTCCTTTCCACTGAGACGCACCACTCCACTCAGTGCATGCATTGTTACTGAACCCATTTCCTACCACTGTGCTTGCGCTGTCCCTCGCACACCATGCTCTAGGATTGCTAGCTTGCTTATTTGCACCAATTTGTTGTCACTCTGGGACCCCTGGGCCCATCCTGTCTGTTTTCCTACACTGTGCCTGTGTTCTGCCGCCCTCAGCCCACCCACAGCACGCACACACACACCTGGACATGCACATACCCACTTGCACACAGAGGAGACGCACCCTCACATCTCCCAGGCTGAATCCTAGACTGGACATTCCCGGAGGTCTGGCTGTTGTGTACCCATCTTAAGGTCACCTGTAATGCTACCTCAGTGATTTACAGGCAGTGCTGCCTTGCTACTTGCAGGGAAGAGCTTATTCTCTGTTGCCCTTGTAGTTGAAGGTCTGAGTATGAATTTAAGAAATGAAGAATTATAAACCTTAGATTCCTATCTAAGAAAGGTGACCCAGTCCATGTGTGAAAGCACTGGACGTGGAAGAAAGTGGGTGCAGAAGGATGAAGTTAGAGGAAGAAAGAGAGCTGGCTAGAGAGGAGAAAGGGAGCTTGTGGTGTGGGCTCTTTAGCATGGTCAGGCTGGGTGGAGCGGCTGCTGTGGAGCTGGGTCTGCTGCTTTATGAGCCGAGAGAAGAGGGTGCTTTGGCGGATGAGCGGGCAGGCATGCAGGCTGAGGTGAAGCGTAGTCTGTGCACCTGGTTCTGAGCTCCTGTGTAATCAGGAAACCAATCCTGGGCCATGGGACGGGCCACAGGTGGAGACATGTCCTATGCTTGGGCCATGTTATCAGTGTTTTTTTTTATTTGTCTTGAGACGGGTCTCGCTGCACAGTTCAGGCTGGCCTTGAGCTCACTTTGTAACCCAGGCTGGTCTTGAACTCTCGACAATCTTTCTGCCTCAGCCTCCCAGGTGCTGGGGTTATAGGTGTGCACCATACCCGGCTCTCAGTGTTTGTTTTAATAAGAAGTATGTTGTTAAATTACATATATGTATCCTTTTGATTAGAAACCATATTAAAGTTATTCTAATCATTTCTTAAGCTGTGATTTGTTTTCCTTTCCCCTGTAGGTCTTATTTTGCCGACTTACAGATGAGCAGCACAAAGTCTACCAGAATTTCGTTGATTCCAAAGAAGTTTACAAAATTCTCAATGGAGAGATGCAGGTCAGCCAGAGATGGAGCTGGGAAGACGAGCTGTGGACCAAGGGAGGTGGGGCGGCGAGGTCTCATCATTTCGTCTCAGTTCAGTCACATGGGGCGCATGTGGTAAACACACAGCCCTGCTGCCAGGCTCAGGGACAGAGGCAGAGTGAGGCCTCAGGAAGTGGCAGCCCCAAGCTGTTCAGGGGGAGCCCAGGGCAGCCAGAAGCAGCAGTGGGTGTCAGTTGCTTTGCTGGGTTTTACTGCCATTGGAACCAAAATCTTGGTTTATGAGGAGAAGGTGATGAGGATTCATGAGTTTCATCAGCTTCTAGAGAAGTCCTGTTCCTCATAAATTGTATGAGCCACTGTCATCATAGAAACCAGGTGTCACCCTGGTTCAGAAGTCTCTGGCTTCAGTTCTCCTCGTCCCAGAATAGGAAGGGAGTTTATTATCATTCTGTGCCTTCCATACTACTCAAGCTTGCTCTGTCTGCTGTTGTCTGTCTCCCATGAATCATATGAATGTGGTTGGCTTTCTGGGACAGTGCATTGCTGTGCCTTGCCCACACACTTCCAGTGAGGTGGGCACAGCTCATGGAATGTTGCAGATGTGCTGCAGTGTGGGGGGAGGCTGGGCATCTGAATCTTAATTAGATGGCACATGCTGCCATTGGTCAGCAGCTTTCTCTGACCCTCTTGAAAACATTTTAATGAGAACCTCAGTTAAATATGAAGCTCTTCCAGTAGTGTGAAGCCACACACTAAACAGGGTAAGGGTCTCTTTGGTCTCCCTGCAGTGCTGTTCAACCTGAATCCCTCTTTGCAGTTTTATGAAGAATAGCACTGAATAAGGGTACCCATGATGGTGGGCCTGCAGGGACTAAGGATCTCTGCAGAGTCAGCCTGGACTGCTGTGGGGGGCAGACACAGGAGTGCATATCTTTCTGTCACGGCATCCTGGCTACTGGCAGTGCTGAGCACTGAGCTTGGGTGCCTGCCTGTGCAGTGGGCGTGTGTATTAGGCTTGTACTCAGCATTCAGTGTAAAGCTTCAGGTGAACATTTCTTCTTTTCTATGTGTAAGTACTGTACCCTGTGAATTATGTTTGATTGGACACATGGGATTCCTAGGAGCAAGGAAAGGCAATCCTGCTGTACCGTCCTGCGCAGGGGCATTTGATATACTGTCAGAGCAAGCCTTTGAATCCAGTGCGTTGGCTTTCCTAGAGTAAGCGGACGCTTGCATATCCCTCAGTCCTGCTCATCTTTGCAGCTGCGGTCTTCACCTGTCCTTGTTGGAGGCACAGTGAGTAACGCTGTGCACTCAGAAATCCTCAGCCCTGCTCTTGAGCCATGAGGTCGCTAGACACGAGCAACAAGCAGGACAGCCACCTTGTCGTGGCACCAGGTGCTCCAGTGCCAGACTCAGTGGGTTCCTTCTTTAACTACTTCCTCTCACAGCTCTCTGTCATCGGCCTCTGGTCTCTAGAGAAGCTTTTGAGTCATTCTCATTACTCTAGCTCCCCTGAGCCTCCCCTTCCTTCCTCCTGTGCCTTTGTGGTAAGTGGTCAAGATTCTCCTGTCAAGTAGAGAGTGGCAGTCCCACTTTATGAGCCCCCCTTTTCTAGCAGTTGCATAAAATGGTAAGGAAAAAGGAAACAAACCCCCAAAAAGTAAGTGCAATTAATTGTGATCATATATTTTATTTAACTGATGATATCATTACAGTGTTATTTTAACATGTAACGAGAATTTAAAAGCAATTAATGAGAAGTGCGCTCTTTCTGAGTGTTTGTTCCATTTTTTAAAAACTGAGTGTGAGCTATACTGGGCAACCCTGCCGTAATTCCGTGCTCCGTATTGCGTGTGGCTTGCAGCTGCTATGTTGGATGGCATAGGTCATGGGAAGACACAAGTTAGAGAGCTGTTTGGAGAGTGCTAACAGTGTTCTTAACTTGCTCCGTATTCCTGTTTAGGATCTGTTTCCTTAGTTAAAATTGATATACCCTGTGATTGCTGCCTTAAATTAGGAGTTTTATTTTGTAGTTTAGCTTGTGCTGTGGTGGTTTGCTTTGAGTCACTCTCTGAAAGTTCTGAGTGCCCTTTGTTATAGTTCAGTTAGGGCCCTTGCATGAGATAGGGCTGGGGCCAGGGTGTGCTCGTCCTGTGCTGCTGATGCACAGGCCACCATCCATGCGTCCCTCATAGATTTGTTCTCTGATACAGTGGTAATGTGAAGATGAATGAGTTTTAACTTGTGACTCAGCTTAAGCTAGAACTTTCAGTAAGATGCTTACTCATTTGATACATCATACGACTGATTTCTCCAAAGTTAGATTGGCTTACTTGGTATTTCTGATCTGCATTTTTAGGGCAGCTGAGTATATTGGCTAACTTTCCACTGATGAGGCAGAATACGTGCCACATAATTTACTAGAGGAACAGTTTGTTTTGCCTCACAGTTTCAGAGGTTTCAGGTCGTGGTCAACTGATGCCAAGGCAGAAACATCATGGTGGAGGGGAGCTGCTCACCTCATGGCAGCAGGGGGGAGCTGGCAGGGGGCAGCCGGAGAAGGGCCTGGGACAAGTTGCGCCTCCAGGCACCTGCTTCCTCCCCTGCAGCCACCTCTTTAGCCCATCAGCTGTGAGCCCATCCACGGATTCATGCACTCTTAAGGTCCACCCTTCCTGAGCCAGTCACCTCTCCAGGCCCCTCTGAACATCTGTGCATAGTGGATCAAGCCCACAGCACACTTGTCCTTGGAGAACATGTTGTATTTAAACTATAGCCATCTTTTTGTGTCAAGTTTATAGTACTGTGAACTGTGTAACTTTTTCTAGTGAGGGGAAGAGAGTTATCAGCAATTGAGTATGACTCCTACTGTAGATGTGTTCAGTCTAGTCCATGTGTTCAGATGTGATTTATTTCCTAAGAAGTTGTTTTGTCAGGAGAAGATGAATGAAAATTCTCTGAACTTTTTTTTTTTTTTTTTTTTTTTTTTTTTTTTTTTTTTTTTTGTATTTTAGGGAAGGATCTACAGGGTGTTCAGGGTCTCACTGTTAGATCAGACTTGTAGTTCCTGTTTACAGCCTCCCAAGTGCTGGGATGACAGGCATGCGCCACCACACCAGTCTCAATTGCCATCTCAGTGTGTCCCAGGGCTGGCGCAGCAGGCCCAGGGATCAAACCCTTGGCCTCTGTGCCTGCTTGAAGACGCTTTAATCCACTGAGCTATTTGGCCGGCCCCCATCTTCTGATAATACTATGATTAGGGAAGAAGCTCACAGGTTGGTGAAGAAAGACTTCAATCTATGTCACATATTGTACATCCTCTTTGCTCTGTAAATTCTTTAAGGTAATGAAGTGCGCTCATGTTCTTTTGCTCTGCAGATTTTTTCTGGACTTGTGGCCCTAAGAAAAATCTGCAACCACCCTGATCTCTTTTCTGGAGGCCCCAAGAGTCTCGGAGGGCTTCCAGATAATGAACTCGAAGATCAGTTTGGCTACTGGAAGCGTTCTGGGAAGATGATTGTTGTTGAGTCTTTGTTGAAAATATGGCACAAACAGGGGCAGCGAGTACTGCTGTTTTCTCAGTCGAGACAGGTGAGTGTGCCCCAGCTTCTAATAAGACTTCAAGAAACAAGTCGATTCTTGGAACTTGGGATGTTTGATTTAAAACGTATGATACAGCCTAAAGTAATGCTTCCAGAGCAAATCTGCCAGGGAAACTAAGTAGCAGGCTGCGGAGCTGTGCACAAGGTTGAAAGTGATGTTCAAACTTGACTATGTATGTATGTATGTATGTATGTATGTATGTATAGGACCAGATAGGCACCTTGTGCCACTAAGTTGTATCTCCAGCCCTCAAACTTGACTTTTTAAAAAGCCTGTGATGAGATTCTGATGTGTAAGTGAGTTTATACCTGGGTTTGAGCTACTTACAAAAGCTGTAAGAATTATATGTAAGAAATACCAAAACAGTCTTATAGCATTTCATTTCTCCATTTTAAAACAATAAGCTCTTTTCATAGAGGCCACTGGGAAAGGCATGACTGTGGACCCGGTGTACCGACCTTTTCTCCCCCAGATGCTGCATATCCTCGAGGTGTTCCTGAGAGCCCAGAGGTACTCCTATCTCAAAATGGATGGTAGCACCACCATCGCCTCGCGACAGCCGCTGATCACAAGATACAACGAGGTAACGAGGACTGTGAGGGAGATGGGCAGTTGGGCAGTGCGGCGGCCACACCACTGAGATGGCATCCTCTGGGGTTTGGCAGTGGGCAGCAGGACTTTCTGCCTTTTCCTCTGTGCTGTTGCAGATCATGGGGATGTTGCGTGCACGTGCATGTGTGTGTTTGTGTATGCGTGTGAAGGAAGTGTTTGCCCTGGAAACCCAGTTTGTAACTGTTCCTGGCATAATATTAAATGTGGGAGCTGTGAGATGAGGTCTGGCTTCACAGAGCTCTCCAGGCCGCAATCATCACAGTCCCTGGGGGTGGCTCAAGCACCTGGGTGGGGTGTGAGCAGCCCAAAGCACAGAGCTGGGGCTCCCGTGACACTTCCATTGCATCGTGTGTCTTGCCTGCAGGATGCGTCCATCTTTGTGTTTCTTCTGACCACGCGGGTGGGTGGCATAGGTGTCAACCTGACCGGGGCCAACAGAGTGATCATCTACGACCCTGACTGGAACCCAAGCACGGATACTCAGGTCTGTCTTGTGCCTTAAAACGAGAACGTATGAGAGCAGTTTTGTGGCTGTGGTTATCCTCCCGTGTTCTAGCTGGCTCCTGAGTGCCATCTGTGTTCTGGCTCTGCAGCAGTTTATCTACGGCGCCCACTCGTAGTGTGGGCAAAGGGACCACATGTCGAGCTGGACCTCTGCTTTCAGATCTAGATGTCCGGTTCTGTTCTGTCAATGGCTGTTTGCTCCACTACATGACCTTAGCACTCTTGCCAGAATTCTGACTCTGGGAGTGAAAGGCAGCAGCCCTCTACCTCGACGTCCCTCCAGCAGCGTCCCTCCAGCAGGGCCTTTGCTGAGCTCTCTTTCTGCCGCAGGCCCGGGAGCGAGCCTGGAGGATAGGCCAGAAGAGGCAGGTGACTGTGTATCGCCTTTTGACAGCTGGCACCATCGAGGAGAAGATTTACCACCGGTCAGTGAGACACTGCCTCCGCTTTGCACACCCAGGGTTTGCGTGGGGAGAACCTTAAAGTATTGTGGTAAAATGTCTTCCATGTTAGGATAATATCTGCTGGAACTTAAAGGATATAGTTTTTTTTTTTTTTTTTTTTTGTGGTACCAGGGATTGAACTCAATTCTACTGAGCTGTCTCCCCAGTCCTTGTTTTGTATTTTTCTTTGCCATTAAAATAAACATAGGTTTCATCACTATTGTATCTTTTTTTTTTCAGTACAATGAATAAAAATTAAAAATAAAATAAACCTAGAAGTTATTGTGAGGTTTTTAATACCTGATTGTTGTACCTGGGTCTGCTTTAATGGCCACTTATGTCAACTTGGTATCCGCTATACCTTAGAGAAGTTCCTACCTCCTATAGAAAAGTTGTGAAAGAGGCAAAGTAGAAGTTTGCATCTTGGCACTGCCAATGTGCGCAAGTGCAGCGCTCCCCGTACAGCTGCCTCTGCCTCGGGCAGCCGGTGAGGCTTTGGCACAGCTCTGTGGGGACAGGTCAGAGCAAGCATGTGTGAAGCCCGGCTGAGCATTCCCTGAGCGAGAGCCCCTTCACCAGGAGCCAGGGAGGCCAGCTCCTCAGACCCCAGAGAGGATACGGGGCTCAGGCTCGTATGTGAAAAGGCATTTTTTAAAATGTGGTGAACCTTGCAGGTGCAAAAATCTTGTTGGATAGAAATAATAAGTATTATTTCTAATTGAATTCTATGAAACACTAAGTTAAGCAGTACATACTATGTCAAGGTTGAAAGTTTGGGCATTGTTTCACTGTTTATTCAGCTGCAGCTCTGACCTTTCTCACATTGCTTCATAATTGGAATATGCAAGTAGCACTAAGCATTGTTTTGTATCATCTTAATTTTTGTCCTTTCAGACAAATCTTCAAACAGTTTTTGACAAACAGAGTGTTAAAAGATCCAAAGCAAAGACGGTTTTTTAAATCCAACGACCTTTACGAACTGTTCACTCTGACTAGCCCTGATCCATCGCAGAGCACTGAAACAAGTGCTATCTTTGCAGGTACTACAGAGGGCCTTTGATTTAAGGTAATAAGTTACATAAGCCTCGTGCGCTTAGAATTCGCTGTGCTTTCCCTTTCATAGGAACTGGCTCAGATGTTCCAACACCCAAACAGCACTTAAAAAGGAAGATTCTACCAGCCTTTGGAGCAGACCAGGACGTACCAAAATGCAGGAGGTTCCCAGATTCTAATGTACTTGGAACTGTGGCCACATCCGCTGAAGATCAATCTCAGGCAGTGGGAGCTGAAGGAAGCACGGTAACTTGCAGTGCAGATAGCCCTTCGAGAGGGGACCCCCAGCCAGTTGGCAGCGAGACTCTCAGTGATGGTGTTAGAGGAGAGACAAGCGTGCTGTCTGGACCAGAGGAACCACCAGTGACCGGCAGAAACGGGCCCTGCTGCGGTTCCCCGGGAATCAGCAGAGTGCTAGGGCCATCTGGTGAGGAAAGCACTGCCGCAAAGCAAGGGCCTTCTGGTGATGGAGACGGCAGACAGGTTTCGGCAGAACCTCCCTGGGAGAATGCTCAGGTGAGAAGTCATTCCTGTAAGCACAAGTCAAAAACAAAGCATCAGGGTGTGGTGGAAGAGGGAGCCCCGAAGAAGCAACAGAGACCCGAGGGCTCCAAGCACCGCAGAGATGCCAAGTTTGAGGGCACAAGAGTGCCACACCTGGTGAAGAGGAGGCGGTTCCGCAAGCACGACGCAGACCCGGAGAGCGAAGCCAGGGCCCGCAGTGGTGATGACTATGTTCTAGAAAAGCTTTTCAAGAAGTCAGGTAATGTCCTTGGTGCCTGTGCCATGGGGTGCGAGGCTGTACTCAGCCTGGCAGTGCGGAGCATTCTCCTGAATTCAGATTTGAAATGTGATGTTCCAAAGACAGCATCAATCCTCTTTCTGTACCTGAAAAATAGATTTTCCTTCCAGGCATTTCTGTACAGCAAAGAATGGTAGTTAGCATACAACCACTTGCAAGAGAAGTGTGAGGCTCTGGACAGACGTGTACGCCTTCCTCACCTTCCCTGGAAGATGATACCATAGAAGTACGGAGAGGGGCAAGCATCTAGATGTACGAAAGCTGATAGCACAGTGCCTAGGGAAAGCACTTGAGGTTGGCCCAGTACTGAGATGGGGCCGAACCCTTCTGTGCTTAGTCTTCCCTGGGAGGGCCCTCCTTTCAGCTTAGTGCCACTGTGTCCTCAAAGAAAAAGTGGTCGTCACCAAGGGGTACCTAGGTTCTTCTGAGAAGACAGGTATGTGTGGTACTTCCGAAAGACTTAGGTTTAACATGATTACATTTCATGCATAATTTCTTACCTTAAGATAATTTCAGACTTAGTTGAAATAGTACACACAAGTCAGCTGTTACCTTACTCCTTGGTTAAAGTTTGCAGTGTGTTCTTACCCTTCACATGCACAGGGAAACACACCTGCCTCCTGGCAGGAAGGCGCAGAAGTGGTAGTGCTCTAACCCACACACATCTGGGGGACCCATGTGAGTCTGTTCTGTCACTGGCTAAGGTTGCTTAGTTGAGGTGGGGTCTGTAATATTTCTCAGCTCTAATACTTATTTTCCTTTGAAATTAATACCCTATGAGGTCATGTAGACATCCTGTTCCTCAGAAAACTTATTCACCAGCTTTAGAATCCATCAGTGACTGCCTCTGTCGATTAGTACTATTGGTGATTAGTGTCCCACTGTAAGGGTTTTCCTGCCCCTGGTTTGTTGCTTTATTCAGAGGGATGGGGACATAGCTTAATGGTAGAGTGCTTGTTTAGTATGCATCAGACCCTGGGGTCATCCCCAGTACCCCCCAAAAAAACCCAAGATTTATTTTTCTGTCAGTATGAAGTCTTACGTTTTCTTTCACAACTATAATCCCTTAATATTACTGTGGTACCTGTTGTCTTAGATTTGCCTGGCAGGAGCTCCATTTTGCTTTCCTGTTTTCTCATTATTCCTTGAACACCTGCTGACTTGCTGGTGCACCAAAGGTGTGAGCTCCACTCTTCTCCTCCAGCCCTGGCATCAGTCACTTTCGCAAGAACCCTTGGAGAATGGTATTTGATAACGAGGACCTGGTGTCTCAGGTTCACTGCTAGTGCTGTGTCACTGCTTCTCTGCAGAGCTAGAAGCAGATGCATGTGTGGGTATATTTAGGCATGTTTGTGTGCATGCACATGCACATGCACAGATACACACATGTACATCTGTCCATAGAGCCATGACTTTGGCTTCCAGCGAGGATGGAATAGCACTTTCTGACCCACTTAGAACCACTGAGATGTGGACAGGATCTATCATTGTTTCTTGAATACCAAAGGGCAGTCTGTGAGTGACCTCTGAGAGGGGAGAGGTGAACTGAAGCCTCCAGTTGCTGCTGGAGGGCACAGCGTGGAGGGAGCTAACAGGATAGACAGGATAGAGTGCTCCAGAAGACTCCTTCCACCTGCAGAGGCTCCTCGTAGACCTCAGCTGAGTGCTGCTGGCACTTGGGTGTGAGGGAGTTCCCGGGCCCAGGACTCAGTTCCTCATCCTGTCCGGGCCCGCCAGCCCGCCCTGGATCCTCATCTGTTGGGCATTGGGAGGTGTTAGCGGAAGGCTCTTGTTGCAGGATTGGTTAGAGTTAGCATTCTCTCAGCCTCCCCTGGCCCTTTATAGGGATGCGTGAATACCCAGCAAGATCAAGTTCACATGGCTGGGCCAAACCACGTGCACTGCTGTGTGCAGAGGCAGGAAAATGTGATGGGAAAGGAAGTGGAGCTGGCCCAGGCCCGCCAGGGGTGCCAGGCTGCCTGTCGGGCTCGTGCCTCCACAAAGTCAGCCAGAGCTCAGTATCTGCTTTTACCTCTTGTCCTCAAAACACTATGTTCAGATGTTTCTTTTTCTTCCATTTGTTGTGTTTCACAGTTAAGTTGTTTTAAATTGCTACCAACTTAAAACAGTTTTGTTCATTTGTGTCTGTATAGGTGTTCACTGTATTTCATTTTACTTTGTGAATTTGTAACATATTAACATACATACAAAAGAGTCACCCTCCACCCTTTCTCCTCAGTTTTTGGCATTTCCTTCTATAGTTTCTTTTGCCAAAGTAAACAAACACACATGCATAATTTTACATTCCTTGTATACAGTAGTACTTCAGTTCATAAACGCTTAGGTTCATAAACAGTTTTATTTGTAAACTAAAGCATTGGCAAAATTTTGCTTCTGTTTGGGAACTCTAAATCGGATGATGAACATGATCACAGCCATCTTCCTTGCTCAAGTGAAAACATGATTATCTTCCTGAGAATCATAAAATGGTTTAAGTTCAGGAACCAAAGGATCACTGTACACTCTTCTGTTCCTTTTTGAAAAAATCATGTAACTGACAGTTGCTCCAGTTTTATTCACTGAGCTTCCTGCTTTTAATTCACAGTTGAGCATTTCCATTATCTAGTTTTTTATTAATCATAATGCTACAGTAAATCATCTTGTGTCTACTTCTTTTAGTATTGTTAGCTTTTCCTTCAGACAAAATCCCTGTGAGTAGCATTGCACCTGTGTGGAAATTTGGGTTGTTTTGAGATACTGTCTAACTGCTCTGCATATTGAGATAAATCAATCATCACTAGCTTTGTACAAGTATCTGTCCCCAGACTGTGGCAAAAGAGTATGTTAAATTTATAGTTTTTTGCTAGTCTGAATGGTAAGAAATGCTGTCCTCTTAGTGTTAATTTTGCATTTATTTTATAATAAATTGAGTAGCATGTATAGGGCCATTTTTATTTTTTTTTCTTTTTTCATGTGAGTTGTCTATTAAATCTTTTTAGAGGGATGTTCTTTTTTGAGGCTATTTCTTGCCATGTACTTCAGCCTGGTCTTGAGCTCACTTTGTAGCCCTGGCTGGTCTGGACCTCACCATGATCCTCCTGCCTCAGCCTCCCAAGTGCTGGCATTACAGGCATGTGCCACCATGCCCAGCCTTGTTACGTCTTTTGCCTGTTTTCTAAGTTAAGTTTTTGGTCTTCTCCCTCCTTGGTTTTTTAGGCTTCTTTATAAATTAGGAACATTTGCTCTAATATCTCCATTTATTTTATTTTTCATATAATTGTAAACATTTTCTCTGTTTGCCTTGTTTTATTTATAGTAATTTTTCCCATGGTAAAGTTATTTTTAAAAATATATTCAAATGTACTAGTCTTATTTGTTACAAATTTTTAGTCATAGTTAGCAAGCCTTTTCTACTCTTAGCTAATATCAAATTCTCCATGTTTTCCTCTGCTGTGTGAATTCTCTACATTTTCTGCATTGTGAACTCTGATGCATTTGAGTTGCATTCACCACCTTTCCTTTCATTGTATGTTTAAATCCGTTTTTCTCACTGACTCTCCTGCTTCTGTCAGACAATACCACCCCATGTGAGGTGGTATCTCCTTTTGTTCTTTGCCGGCAGTCCACGCCTTGTCTGTCCCTTCTCAGCACAGACTTGGGAGTCAGAGCCTGCTCTCTGTCCATCAGGGCACAGCTTTGCCTTTCCAGGGTCTTCCTGGAGATTTGCACTGGTTCACTTTTTCATACAGACTTTTGTATCTGCCCGTTAGCTGCATGAGCAGAGTAGTTGGTACCCGGTGGGGTGGTCCTAAGCACAGAAATGAACAGGGAAAGCAGCAGTTATTGAGTTGCCTAGTCAAGAACAAGGAAGTCTTTGTATCTGTTCAAGCCTAATAATAAAGTGCCCTCCTGCTAGTATTTTAAAGTTTTGACCATGTAAGGTGTGCAAATCTCCTGGGTTTATTCCTATTTTATGTTGTCATTGTATAGGGTATTTCCTCTACCATTTTACTCTTTAACTGTGAAAGTGGAAAGGCTGTAGGTTTCTTTAGGTTAATTTTTGCATTGTCACCATTGAGTTTTTTTTTTTTTTTTTGGGTTTCTAGGTGTACCATTATTTAAAAATGTCAAAAGACTGGGTGAAGTGACACACACTTGTAATCCTAGATACCTGGGAGACTAAAGCGGGAGGTTGGTAGCTTTGAGGCCAACCTGAGCAACTAAGCAAGACCTTGACTCAAACTTTTAAAAATGTGGGGTGGGAGGTGTTTTAGGTAAAGGTCAGTCAGTGGCAGATGCTTGCCTAGCATGAGCAAGGTCTTGGCTTTAATCCTAACCATTTTTGTAAAACAAAAAATACTTTTAATTTTTCACTTTTCAATTTACATCTCTAATTGATTTTTCTTTTACTACACTGACTAATAAGTCCAATTAAATGTCAAATAGTATTGAAGATAATGGACATCTTAGCTCTCCTATCCTTAGTATAAGTCACCTCTAGTGTTTACTCATTAAGATTTTGATGTTAAACCTAACGTATGTGTTTTTTTAAAAAGTTCCCAATTTTTTGAGTGTTTTCATCAGGCGTAGATGTTAAAGTTTGTCAAAGGCATTAGAATTATCATGTATAGGGCTGAGAGAATAGCTTAGTTGTAGAACACTTACTTAGAAATATCACCTATGGATGACGTTGAAACTAATATAATATAAGGTAATGAATTTCTTAATGTTGAACCAAACTTGAATTCTTAGATAATGCCTACTGGTTTATGCATCAAATTGTATTGTTTTCTTTGTTGCTGGACTCTGTTTGCTGATGTTATAACTAATACTTCCTCATTGATGTCTATAAATGATGCAACATGTAGTTTTCTGTTGTGTGTGACATTGGTAGTTCTCTTCTGTTTCTTCTGTGTTACTGGTCTGATTTCCTAGAAAGTTGTCTACTTTTCATGTTTGCATACATGTATACAAGATATTCTTACTATTTTAATTTGCTTCTGTTTCAAGACAGTTTCTTGTCACTTATAATCAAATAAATTTATTTTTATTTCTTTGAGTAAGCTAAGATAGAGCAATATCTGTTGATTTTTTTTGCAATAAACCAAGATTTTTTATTTACTACCTAGACCAATGATTGTTCTCTTTTTTTGTTTTAATTTTTGCTTTTATCTTTTATTATTCTATCCTAGTAATTTGCTCATGTTGAATTTTGATGCCTTTTTTTTTAAGCATGATTTGCTCCTTTTATAACTTGTACTTGGAAATTTAACTCACTTTTATTCATTCATTTTCATTGACATGTCTTGAAACCTATATATTTTCCACTATGACCACATTGATTTTATCCCGCTTAATCTGGACTGTTTTCAGGATCATTACTTTTTAGAAATTTTAGAATTCAGGCTTAGATTTTTCCTTTCATTGAAAAGTTAGTGGGAAGCACTTGCTTTTCTTCCTGGGTGCAGGAAGAGCTTAAGCATTATGGTTGTGATTAAAGCCTTCTCTTGAGTTATTCTAAAACACGGATCACTTCTAGCTCCCCTGTAGGGCAGCGGTGTGAGTAGAACCTGCCTTTGTGATGTTCCCAAGCTGCAGCAGACACTCAGTAAGGAGTGCTTAGTGGGGCCTTCATTTTTGTCTTCTGCAGGGCCAGACCACTGGGGGGAGTGAAGCGCGCGCACCCGCGGTCCCACTCATACTGCTTCCTCTCTCCCTGCTAGTGGGTGTGCACAGCGTGGTGAAGCACGACGCCATCATGGACGGCGCCAGCCCAGACTACGTGCTCGTGGAGGCAGAAGCCAACCGCGTGGCGCAGGACGCCCTGAAAGCCCTACGGCTGTCCCGTCAGCAGTGTCTGGGTGCCACCTCTGGTGTCCCCACCTGGACCGGCCACAGGGGCACTGGAGTGAAGTAAGAGCTCCTCCTTGGGGCACCCCAGGGCAGCCAGAAGTTGGGCGAGAGTGCACGTGAGACACTCACTCACTGCAGCAGTGGAAGCCGGGGCCAGTACAGGTTTGGGTGACTTGGGCATGCCACTGTCACCTTACCTCCCTCACTTCGACCCTGGCTGTCCAGACCTTGATGGGGAGAAGTGGTCAGTTTTAAGAGACAGTGTTATAAATAGGAGGAGCTACTTTTAAGTTCAGTTTGTTCAGCCACGAGGCTATTCAGCAGCCCATTGGAATCATCAACTTGCCCCCTAACTCCCCGCCTGCTGAACAAGGTCTGAGGTCCTGAGGCCCCGAGATGCACCCGTGGCTTCCCTGGCAGAGCAGGGTGAAGGAGCTGGGGTGGGGGTGGGGAGAAACAGTGCAGCTTTGGAAGAACAGCCCTAGAGGTGGCTTTTCCCAGAAGAGTTGTCAATGAATGAATATTTTGACTGCTTGGGTCACAAAAGCTAATGTTTCTCTACTGTGCTGCTTTTCCTTACTTAGGAGTAGATTTGGTCAGAAAAGGAACTCCAGCCTCTCCGTGCGGTGTCCATTGTCTTCAGCAGAAAAGTGCCAGGTAACAGGATAGCTCATTTTCCACGTGTAAGACATACTTGACAACATTTCGTGCCATCCTGAGCATGAAAGGGATGGTTGTCGCCAGCATGGTGACGTCTGGTATTTGTGTTTGGGTTCTGATTTGTGATGTTGATGTTTTCTCTGGAATCTAAAAGGGCCTCTGACTTCTAAAACCAGGGTCCGCATCAGCATTTTTGTTCTTTGCTTAGAACAAACCTTGTACAGGGACAGGCATGCCACCGTAGAGTATATCCTGCCTGTTTTAGGGGCCTGCCCATTCCAGAGATCCCCACCAACTAGAGTGAAGGCCCAGAAAGCCATCTGCAGCATCCTAGCCCAGGCCTGAGGAGCTGCCAGGCAAGACTCCCCTGTCCCCAGCCCTGTAGCACCCCGCTTTCCCCCAGTGCTTGCAGGATGGTAAATTGCTTCAGGCCTCCCTCAGCACTGTCTTGCTAATGTTGTGTTAGTGCTACAACTTTGAGACTCCCAATTTTAGATGCTTGTGAGCATGTTCCAGAATGAATCCTTCTGACCTGCCACATTCTATGCTTTTAGCAGTAGGATTCTGGAGTGCTTCCCAGGTGTGATTTGTGCTGTTGTTGCAAGGAAACTCATGTGAGGTGTAGACAGGATGAAGAGTGCTGAGTGAGTGAAGGGAGAGGAAGGGTGCTGTGTGCCGGTCTGTACCATCCTGGCAGCTCTGCACCTCTGTCCACTCACGTGTAGCACATGACCTGAATGTGGCCTAGGACCCTCCATTCCATACATTTTCTTTGTTAGGAAATGTTAATAGCAGCTGGACTCTGTTGGGCTCTCTTTTCCCTTGGACTGTGATATAAAGTCAGTGTGAGCCCCCCCCCCCCTGCTTGGTGCCTGGCTAACTTGGGGCTCCCCAGTGCCTCTGGGAGCTAAGGGGTAGATAACCTAGAAATCCAGCGTGTCAGTGCAGCCGCCTTCTTTCTCCAGGACGGTGTGGTGAAAAGGGAAGGACGAGCACACACATCTGAGCACTTCAGCGGAAAAGCGGATGACGTGGACTCTTCTGCTGTGCTCCCCTCCTCCTCCCTCTTGGCCAGGATGAGAGCGAGAAACCACCTGATCCTTCCTGAGCGCTTGGAGAATGAAAATGGGCACACACCAGAGGCAGCTGCACTGCCGCCCCCCACCACCGAGCATGATGACCTGCTGGTGGAGATGAGGAACTTCATTGCCTTCCAAGCCCGCGTGGACGGCCAGGCCAGCACCCGCGAGATCCTGCAGGAGTTTGAGTCCAAGCTGTCTGCAGCACAGTCCTGCGTCTTCCGGGAGCTACTGAGAAACCTGTGCACCTTTCACAGGACACCAAGTGGGGAGGGGGTGTGGAGACTCAAGTCGGAGTACCGCTGAGCCCTGCATCCTCCCCTTTGCTCCCAGCACAGGCTTCTGAGCCTGCCTGTGCCCGTGACCTGCTCTTCCTTCACATGACATCTACCTCATAACCAGATCTGAGGAAGGGTGCTCTTCCTCAGGCTGAAAAGTCTTAATCATGCTGACTAAAGAAAGTACTGGGTTTGGGGGTGGGACTAGAAATTATGTTGTAAAATCAGGGACCCAACAGTTGCCCCTTACACTCCTGAGGATGTTTGTGGGGCAGATGTCTCCGTTTGTTTTTTTACTGGTGCTAGAAACATGACTTCCATTCAGTCGACCTACTCAATGCGTTAGGTCACCAATACATTGATAGCAGCAATATTTCAGTGTATATTGTTATTTGCCATTTGCCACCCAAAAAATACAGGTTTGTTATGTTACAAAACAGTTGCCGGTATGAACAGTCTCCTTTTAAGCCACCATCGCATTGACAGGTTTTAAAATGTTCATTTTTGGTGCTGAGGGTTGCGCTCAGCGACTCACACGCGAGTGCAGGCTCTGTCCCGGGCTGCACATCTCACTGCAAGTGTTTCCAGAAGTCAAGTAGGAAGTAGCTTGTTAACAAATACCAAGACATCTGTCTGCAGAAAGTCATTTGCTTCGTTCCTCCTGGCTATGCTTTAGGCAAAAACATCCTTCCCCCTCCAACAGTAACTGGTGGTTTTGGGAAAGCTGAAATGTGTTACCAGGTTTTACAAATTACCAAGCAGAACTGCTAGTAAACACACTAAGTGACATGCATCCACCCAGGAATGTCCTTGCAGACCACAGCCAGGGTCGTGGCCTATGCCTGTGTGGCAGGTGTCCCCTTGGCCCCTGTGGAGCCCGTGCCTTCAGACCTGTGCACCCCTTCAGCTTTGGCTTCTCTGCCTGGCTGCAGCCATCTTCCACCTTCCCCGCGCTGTGACTCTCCTGCTTGGCTGGGTTGCTTTTCACTTGAGTGTGTTGTACCTGGATTTATGGATCTGTAGCAGTACAGCCTCACTCCTGTCCCTCAGCTTTGTGTCTTAGGGTTTTGATTATATATTTTGGGGGGAGATTATCTTACTTTCTTCACTTTGCCATAGAAGGGATTGCTAAGGTCAGTAAGTTGCAGCCTTCAGTACCTTCATGGCTGGTTTGCTCCCGGGGCACTATTTTTATGTTTGTAATCTTTAGCCTATAGAAAAATTGTGTCTATTTCTCAAGACTTCTGACTTGTAGTACAGAAGTTCAAATCCTATTGAGCTAGAGAAGGTGTGGCCTTCCTTTGACTAAAGGTACCTGTCACAAGTTGTGATGCGCTGAGTGCAAGGCGGCCTCTGCCCAGCTGTGCCCCGTGCCCTGGCTTCCAGGGCTTGCATCAGGCTGGACCTCTTTGAACACAGTCCCGTCCTCCTGGTGAATGGACAGGGACAACAGTGCTCTATGCAAGTGGTTTTGACAAGACAGAATAACGTACTTAGATAAACTCTTTTAGAACATTAAATTCTTTGTGCACTGTAAATATATTTAATGCATATGTCGGTATGAATAAAAGATTTAAAATTTTTTTGTCAGTTTTTTAAATTCTGTAGTTACTGCATGAATGTGCGAGGGTGATGAGACCATTCAGCCGGCATCAGCCTTCTTGCCCCTGGTGGCCCTCAGCTCCTTCCTCAGCAGGCTAGTGAGTGCCTCTGCATGGGGCCATACCTGAGGACCCAGCTGTGCTGCACCCTGACCAGCCCCTGCCTGCAGGCTGGAGTGCCCTGCACCTTCAGCATGCTCTGGCATTAGAGCGCATGGTGGAGACCGGAGCTGGAAAGGAGGAAGGCTTGTCGGGCTTGGGCTGCTCTCACCTTTTGCTGCAGAGCAGTGTTGCTGACTTGTTCTGGTCCCTGTCCTTGGGAGCGTCTACTTAGGTAGTTTGTTTAGGAAACTGACTCTGGTGTGATTATACCCTCCTTATGGTGCCTCGCTTCCCCTGAAAGACATCTTTTCATACCCCTAAGAAAGCTCTGCTTTCGTAAGTGCTGGGTTACAGATGACATAGCTTTAAATTGCAGTGGATGGAGTTGTTTCCACAAGCACAGATGCGAAGGGGATTGTCCCAGCTCTTAACAGGCTGCTCTTTCCTCAAGCTTTCCACTCTTCATGTGCTGTGTGCACTTTGGGTGGTGGGCGTGCACTCGGCCGCAGCCGTGCTCCTCCGCTTACTTGGTTTTGAGTGAGCTCACTTCTTTTGCCCTTTATTTAACCACCTGAGGCTGAGTCCCTCGTCCCTTTCCCCCCTTCAGCATCTTGTGCGCTTTCTTTTTTGAGCCAAGGATTGAATCAGCTTATTAAGTTCAAAAATTGTGTTTTTATATTGGCTGGGACTGTGCTAATTTAGTCATTAATTGAGGATTATAGAATTTTTGTAATTAATATAATTTCCCCCGTTAGTATCATGGTAGGCCTCATTTTATTTAAGTCCTTTATTCCTGGATAAAATTGTAATAAGTTCCTTCGCAAAGGTCTTACACATTTTATATTAGGCCTATGCCTGTGTATCTTACAGAATTTTAGTTTTAATTGGGAATCTTTTCCAAAAAATAGGGAGTAACTGGAATACCCACATATCTTCTGAGTGTTGTTTTTCACTCTGAAGTTTATGTATTTAAAGGTGATAAATCTAGTCATTCCATATTTTGTCTCCTTATTTAAAAAGTTCTTCCATGCCAGGTCATGAGTACATTTTCATAAATTCTCTTGTTCATTATATGTAAAATAACTTTTTTTCCTAGCATCTTCTAAAAAAAAAAAAAAAAAGAGGCAGTTCATTCTTTCCCTCCTGACTACTATCATGTCCTATTTCTGTACAGTGAAGAGAATGATGCTAGGCTCTGTGTCTTTCTTTTTTTAGTATCGGGAATCAAACTCAGGAGTTTGTGCTTGCCAGCAGGCACTTCTGCTGAGCTATCTCCCCGGCCCCGCTGGCCTCTGTCTAACTTTGCCAGTGAGCCACTGTTTAAATCATTGTGGCTTAATAATTGGTTATTACAAATGGTAATGGTTCTTGGATTTTTGTTGCAAATACATTTTGGATTATCTTGTCACATGTAGATGTTGTTTATTCAGTTGTATCAAACATGGCAAATTTGTCGACAAGGCTCACATATCAGAGTTTTTAATCTATAAACAGTTCCTATCCATTTTCTTTTAATACAGCTTTATATATAAAAAAAAATCCCATCATGTCTTACATAACAAAGTGATGTACAACTTAAATTTGTTGCTCAATACATCAGAATTCTTGTTGCCATTTTCTTATGTGCAAGGCTTAACTTCCAATAACTTATTAGTCTTCAAATTTCTATCCATTTTGCTGAACTCTTTTTTTTTGGGGGGGGTACTGGGGATCAAACGCAGGACTTTGTATTTGCCAAGCAGGTGCTTAAGCCACTGAGCTATCTCCCTGGCCCCTGGACTCTTAATTATAATAGGCTGCAAATTGTTGTATACATAACCATTGAGAGTTCCTCGATTCCAGTCCTTATACTTTATACATTTTCAGTATGACAGTTGGCATCTGTCTTCTGCTCTTAACATTGAAGATAAACTTGTAAAATTTTAAGTATACAGTAGCTGTTTCTTTCTAGTTAAGGAAATGTGCCTTCAGGTTTTGAATCCAGTGCTGGGTTTTATGAAATGCTTTTCCTACATATTACTAATCAAATTAGATAGTTTTTCCCCTTTAATATCCCTCTGGTGTGGTGAAATGCAGTTGTCCAACATCAAAGCATTTCTTAGCTTTCCACTTCCTACATGGCAACATGCACTCAGCACAGGTAGCATAACGAACTAGGAAGCCACTCCCCCTCCACCTGCCCAAATCTGGGCAACATCCCAGGCCAGTTCTTCCAGTGTCCTAAGAGGAACAGAAATGAAATAATCAAGGCCCAGGAGATCTGAAATTTTCAAGGCTAAAGCACGTACCTTAAATCTTCTGGCCTGAACTTAAGTAACCTTTTCCCTCTAGAACTTTCTTGAAGGTTCATGCATATGACTATCTCATGTGTGATTTAATGTGAGTGACTTGTGCATAGGCATGCGTACTTTGGTACCCCTGAGGTGACCCGGTACCCTGTCCATCATTCCTGTCAATCTTCTGCAGAGACCCAGTGAAAGAATGTAAGGTGGGGTACACAGCTTTTAAAAACAGCCTGATTTATCTGTGTGCTTGCTGTTCCCTTGTTATCCTGTCACACTTTTCTGTTTGCTCCACCTTGTTTCTGTTGTGGCCCTGCCCTCACCACACTTTCCCATTGTCAAATATAACTGCTTTTTCTTTTACCAGTAGGTGTACAATTGCAATTCCTTGTTCTCTGCACACAAGCACAGGGACAGGCTGCCAGCATTTCTCTAGCTCCGAGTGCATCAAGTAACTTCAGGAAGTTAAAAAATATTGCCAAGAAAGTGCACTAGAGATGCTCAGTGGATTGAGTTGACAGCAGAAATGAGTCACCCCCAACTTGCAGAAATTGAGAGAGATTATCTTGCTCTCTAAAGAAGAGAAAGAGAATGAAGAAAAGTGGGCAAAGCCATAAGAGAAATGTAAGCGATGCCGCTAAGACATTGTTAAATATAGGTAGTGGGCCGAGTGTGGTGGCGCGTGCCTGAAAGGGCAGCTGCTCAAGAGGCTGAGGCAGGAGGGTTGCACGCTCGAGGACAGCGTCTGTGGGCCTTGCCCAGAAATGTTCTTGCTTCAACTGCCGGAATCAACAGAGAGCTCCACTTTACTACCAGGACCTGACCCCTAGGCAGTCAGGACTGAGTATTAGTGTATGCTTGTTTGCTATTTAGTAGGCAGGACTTTCTCTAGATAAGCTAGCCCTTCCCTTCACAAACTGTTCCTTGTGACATTAAACCTCCTCACATTTTTCCCTTTATATTCTTTCCTAGTGAATTTTTGTTGATGATGGAACAACTTAAATTCCCCAGTTTCAAATTGTCATAGAAGAGTGATCAGTTGTGACACTGGCAAGGGTCAGAGCAATAAGACTGAGTGTCCAGAAGTGACCTTGCATCTGTGGTCAGTTGGTTTCCAGCAGATGGGCCAAGTCCAGTCAGGGGGAAAGACAACTTTTCAGCCCGTGGTCCTGGGGGAGCTAGGTATGTGAGGAAGAGGGAAGGTGGACTCTTGCCTGGCGTCCCATACCAAGGTTAACTCAAAATGGATCAGACTAAGTGCCCAAATGGAGAAACAAAACTAGACCACTCTTAAGACATGGATCCAAATTGTCATGACCTTGGATTTGGAAAGACATTTATGAATAGGACCCTTAAAGTACAAATAACAAAGGAAAAACTAGACAAAGCTCAGTTCATCAAAATGTAAAGTTTCTGTCTCTTAAAGGATGCCAACAAGAAAGTGAAAATACAATACACAAAACTGGAAAAACACTTGTGAATCGTGTATCTCATAAACATTTGAAGTAGAGATTTTTCAGTATTGGGGATTGAAAACAGGCCCTTCACACTGAGTTACATTCCCAGCCCTCTTAATTTTTAACTTAGAGAGAGAATCTTGCTCAGTGCTGGGAATCACAAGTTTGTGACCCTTGGCTTCAACCTAGTGGAGTGCTGGGCATATAGGCATGTGTCACCAGTAAGACTCTTCCCGTTCAGTCCTATTTTTAAAACGGACAAAGGATGTGAATGAACACTTACACCCAAATGGTTAATGGGTAAAAATGGTCAGTGAGCACACAAAAAGGTGTTTGTTGTCATTAGTCATCAAGGAAACACAAAAGTGCAATGAAATGCCATTTTATATCCACTCGGTTCCACTAAAATAAGTCAGATAG